TCAAGAAATTCAATGGCTAGATTAGATAATTATTTTAAATAAAATGAATGTAATAAAATAGAAAGATTAAGTGAGAATGTTAATTTTGCTATAAAAATAAATAATGGTATATATAGTTGGAAAAGTAATGATAAAATGAATTAAGATGTAATAGAAAAGAATGATGAAGATGAATAAAAAATAGAAGATTAGAGTATTTTTAATATAAATATGAATGTTGAAATAAAGAAAGGATAATTTGTAGCATTTGTTGGAAAGTAATATAAAAAATAAATAATTTTAGTTCTGCATCTGGTAAATCTACAATATTAAGATCAATTTTAGGGGAAACTGAGAAATAATAAGGAAATATTATAGTAAATGGAACAATAAGTGTTGCAACTTAAGAACCTTGGATTATCAGTGGAAGTATTAAAAAAAATATAACTTTTATGAATTCATTTGATAGTGTAAAATATAAATAAATTATTAAAATTTGTGGATTAGAAAGAGATATTGCTTCATTTAAAAATGGAGATGATACTATTTTAGGAGAAAAAGGTGATAATTTATCAGGAGGACAATAAAAAAGAATTAATCTTGCTAGAGCCATTTATAATGATGCAGATATTTATTTACTTGATGATCCTACTAGTGCTTTAGATATTAAAGTTAAATATTCAATACATTAATAATGTTTCTCATAATATCTTAAAAATAAAACTAGAATACTTTTTACTAATTCATTATCTAATCTATAAGAATGTGATATTATTTATATTATTTCTAATGGATAAATTATATAATAAGGTAAATTTCATTAAATTCTTGGATAAAATCTTAATTAATAATATTAATAAAAAGAAGTTATTGAATTTCCTAATGAATAAAACTAAGTAAAGCATGAATACATAGATAATTAAGAAGCAAGAGAGAGTTTGATATAAAAGGAGGATTAACAATAAGGAAATATATCTTTGATAATTTATAAATAGGTTTTTGCTTATATTGGTAAATATTTTGCTCCTTTATGTACTTTGCTTTACTTTGTAATAGTTTTAGGCTTTTAACTTTATGGCAATGATAAGTTGTCATAAAAAAATGTTACTGATGATGAATATAAAAGAATTGTTAAAATTTATTATCCAATAACTTAATTACCAATCAGCCTAGCAGTTGTGTTTATTAATTCTTATTATTTATTGATGGGTTTATCTACTTCCAAAAAAATTCATAACTCCATAATAAATCGATTACTTAATGCATCATTTACAAAATTTTATAACACTATTCTTATAGGAAGACTGATGAATCGGTTAAGTAAAGACATGTACAACATAGATTTAGAATTTCCAAATGAAATTCAAAATTTTAGTATTTAGATAATAAATCTAATAATACCATTAGTTGAATGCTTTATATATTTAAATATTGCTGCTTTTCCGTTACTTATTATTTTTTTTACTGGCTTAATTTATCTAACATTACTTTATTACAGATGCTTAAGAGAAATTACAAGAATTGAAGCAGTCTCAAAAAGTCCAATATTTTCCTTTTTTCAATAAATTGTTAGAGGAATAACATATGCAAGGACATGTTTGCCATTAGAAAAAATAATTGCCCAATAGTAAATAAATGTTGATACAGACCTTGGAAATTAAATTAATTAAGATGGAATATAATATTGGTACTAATCTTTAGCAGGTTCATCAACAAATGTCTTTTAAGCTATTTTATTTATAATTTGTGTATATTATTTATTTAATATTAGTTTTTTTTTCCTGGTAAAAATAGTGATAAAACCTTTCTCGTATTAAATAAAATGCAAGAGCTTTCACTTTTAGTATTAAATGCTTCAATTTCTTATGGCAATATTTAGATGTACCTAATAAGTTTTGAGAGATGTTTACATCTAGCTAAGTATTTAATAGTTTTATGTAAGTAATGTTGATTTGGATGAAAGATTCATACCACATATTTCTATAGAAGACATTGAAGTAGAAAAGTAAGATAAATAAGATAATGTTTTAAAACTTGAGAGCTGTAGCTTTCAATATAGACCCAATACTAAAAGTGTTCTACATAAATTATCATTTAAATTACATAAAAAAGAAAAAGTAAAAAAATATTTAAAATTAGATTGGAATAGTGGGATAAACTGGATCTGGAAAAAGCTCGATAATTTTAGCTTTGACAGCTATTTTAGAATAGATCGAAGGTTAGATGGAAATAGAAGAAAAAAACATTAATCATTATACAATAAAAGAATAGAGGCAAAAATTTGGAATAATTCCTTAAGATCCACTTATATTTATGGGAACTTTAAAATAAAATTTAGATCCTTTAAATAAATATGAGGAATTTTATATTTAAGATATAGTTCAATAATGTGGTTTATTAGAAATGCAAAGCTTTAAATAATAAGGATTGAAGAGCGAGATTGGTTTATCAGGTAGTAATCTATCTTTAGGAGAAAAATAATTATTAAATATTGTTAGATGCATTCTAGAAAATAAAAATATAGTTCTAGTCGATGAAGCTACATCTAATATTGATTCATAAACTGAAGAACAAGTTAAAAATGTATTTTTATTTTAAAATTTATTTAGTTATTTGAAAAATATTTTTCAAATGTTGCAATGATATCAATTGCTCATAAAGTAACAACAATAATGAATTCAGATAGAATTATGGTATTAAATGATGGAAAAATAACTGAGTTTGATCATCCATAAAAATTACTGGCTGATCCAAATAGTGAATTTAAAAAAATTATAGATCTTATAAAACATTCTGAGGAGCTTTGATTAATCAAAAATATATTTTAAAGAGATAAATATCATATAAACAAAAACACTTCTTTATAAATTAATTAATTTTTTAAAGTTTTTATGTATATAATTATCTGAATAATGTAAAATAGAGGATTAATCATTGAAATTTTATCTAACTTATGCTCACATATTTAATATAAAGTGAAATTTTTTATCTAATTTAGCTTTGAATTTAATTTCTATTTTAAAATCCCAATTACTTACAAAAAAAATCCAAATAAATTAAATATATATTCCTAATAAAATAAAACTTATATTAAAATAAATTTTGCTGAAACTAAAAAATATTAGTTCTAGTTTGGTAGTTTAGGGATAATAAATATTTAATTCGTTCATTCTAAAAAATAGTGGATTTAATCACTGGTTTAATTTTAAAAACATTTTATGGTTTATTTAGTGATTATTTAAGTTATTTATATATAAATAAAAAATTAAGTAAGTAAATGTCAATAATTATTTATAAATTTTTTATGAATACTATAAATAAGGCCTAATTATTAGATGTTGATAATTAAATCCAATTTAATCAAAAAAATTGTGGTAATATTTTTTTTTTTGCTTGGATATATCGATTACTAGCTGTACATATTTATTTCAAATAATATTCTTTAGATTGGTAATAAAAAGCCTCTAGTATAATCAGATTTGGCTATCATCGATCAAGATTGCAATATGGAGACATCTTATTCTAAATTCTCATCTATAAAGCAAAAGTTATTGTGGGTTAATTTGCTCTATTCTTTCAAAGGTAACTATAGATAATGATAGTATTTAGGNATATCAATTGCTCATAAAGTAACAACAATAATGAATTCAGATAGAATTATGGTATTAAATGATGGAAAAATAACTGAATTTGATCATCCATAAAAATTACTGGCTGATCCAAATAGTGAATTTAAAAAAATTATAGATCTTATAAAACATTCTGAAATAGTGTGATTATTAATTTTAAAATAAAAATAAAATTATAATTGAGAATTTTTAATATCCAAAGAAGAATTATGTAGCTCGTATTCTGTTAAAAATCACCATACTTTTCAAAGTTTACAAAAAACAAATCAAATCGATTTAATACATTCTTTAAAGTAGAATTTATTTGTTGTTTTCTTTCAATTATTAATAATTTGAAAAGGTTTTGAGGAGGTAGCAACTCTTCGCATTATGATGGATCAATCAATGATCTATAATTGAATTATATTTTTAGTGTGTTGCAATAAGAAATCCGTCTTTTTTCAATACTTTAATTGTTAAAATATTAATTTAGATACTTTTATAAGTAAGCTTTGGTGTGATCATCTTGAAATTTTTTGAGATGAGGAATTTAGTAAGAAAGTTTTTTTCATTTAATAATAATAATTTGAAAATTTTCAATTAATCAAACTAATTAGTTCTTAAAATTCTCAATTACATTTAATAATATTACAATTAAATGAATAAATTCACACTTAAATTTAATTAGCAAGTTTTAGAAATACAATATCAATCAACAAGACTTGTTATGAGGAAAAAAATTTTTTATGGAGTTGCCTCTGGATTTATAATAATGAATACTATCTCAGCAATATTTAAAATTATAGAAAATGATTATAAGAATTTAGCTTTGGATTTAACAATATCATCAGTTGCCATTTTGACAGTGTGTGTCATACGTTATTACCAATAATATATTTTAGAAGGATTAAACATTTTAAATATGCTTTCCTGTTTAATACAAATAAATCTAGATGAGACTGCAACTGCATAATAAATGTACATTTTTGGAGCAAATATAATGGCGACATAATTAATGTTGTTGTTTGGCTCAGATTTTTTATACTCTCTACCATAAATCACAATAATTGTTTGTTCTAGAATTGGAATATTAAGAGTATATCAACCATTTGATTGGTTTACGATATCTTTAACTTTATTAGTTTAATTATGGCTTGGAGTTGTTTAATATTAATTGGATAAATCACTACGATCCTAATTTTTACTCACATTAAAGGATCATAGTTGGGGTAATTTTATTATAAAAAAATAGATCAACTTTTACCGCACATTGTTGACAAACCATATTTTTATTTTAGATATAATGATTCTAAATTTGAAATAAAATAAATTCATAAATAGTCATAAATATTTAATTATAATATTGATTTTTGTCAAGATTGTAATTTGAGACATTTTTTAAGAGAATTTAATTTTAATAACTAAACCATTGAATCATTCATTCTAAGTAGATTAAAAATTTATGAAAAAAATATCTATGAAAAAGAAATTATTGCTAAAAATAAAAAACAATACACTATGCGAATTAATTATTGTGAAATATCTAGTGATTATCCTAATTTCTTGATAATTTTAAATGATTCTAAATAAAATTAAACTTTTTCTAAACATTTATAAACTGAATTTATTAGCAAATATTTTAGCAGATACTCCAATCATCTTTTTAAACTTCTATTAAGGGAAGATTCAAAATTTAAAATTATTTAGCTAAATTGTCACTATATATCTGCTTTGTATATAAAAGATTACACTGTTAAATATTTTTCTCCATACAAGCAATTAAAAAAAATAATTAATTTATCAGGAGGTGTTTAATTAGAATGCTTTGAGAAATTTAAAATTTAAGGATATAAGAATTTATTTTCTGTTTTTTGGATTTAAATTATTGCGATAATGATTCTGTCTTAAAAGAAACAATATTTGAGTTAGCCGATAATCATTTTAAAAAAGGAATTAGATTATATTGAATTATGTTTAGTTTTAAATTTTCCCAAAAAGTTTTAGGAAAAGTTTAATAAAAATGTCGTTATTTAAAGGCTTAAAAGTGTAATTTTTTTTTATATTAACTAAAATTTATGGATATTTAGATAGCACAATAAACTTGAAATAGCATCTAAGTAAATTGATAAAAATTGAAATAATATTTAACTTACCAAACTATATGGATTCATAATTTTTATATAATATTTTTTAATCTTAAACTGAACAAGAAAAATTTTTAATTTTTAACTAAATCTACAAAATTTGTATTCATTCCTGAAATTTAAAGATCTTGATATTGTTAAACAATAGATAAAAGAATAATATTTTTAAAAACGTTGTTTTATGTCTTAAATAAATTTTTTAAATCAATTATAAAGTAAAAGTTTTCATTTATTTTCTAAATATTATAAATAAGAATAATGTAGTTATGTTAAATTTTAGAATATTTGCTGTAAAATTTAAAAAGTTCTTTACCTTTTTCCTTTAAAAATAGTTTTATTAAAAAATTTGATATTGTAAAATTTTTAAATTAATTAATTTATGAACTCAAAGGAATTTGATGTGTTTAATTTACATAAATTTCATTTATGCCAAATTCATAACCTAAAACTGTAATTAGTGTGCTCCAATCCATAGTGTAAAGAAAATGGATTGATTTGTATTGACTGCTTGCTCAAGAACCATAAAAATTGCAATTAATATATTTAAAAATTTGATGAGTATCTATCAAAGTTATAGATTAAAATACAAGATATTAAAAGCAAAAAAGATAAAGTATGTATTATGTTGATGACAAGAAATTTTAAGGTGCACAGACAATCTTATAAAATTTAGCAAATTTATAAAAAAAAGTTAATGAACTAATTTTAAAACTATAATTTGTAATTGATTAATTTAAATATTTTAGTAAATTGAAACTTTTTTGTTGTAAGAGAATTAAAATCATTCAAATGGAATAATTAAAAAACTAGTTTTTGCTAATTTAGAAGCAGAAAAGGATATAATAAAAGATTTCATTTAGAATTAAGAAAAATATACAATATATGAGGAAGAATATCAATGGGAGACTTAAGGAATTATAATAATTGAATCTCTAACATAAATTCTTAATGTTATCGATGTAGAATCTTAAGAAAAATAATAAATTTTAGCTTAATAGAAATATTTAAAAGTAAAGAGCATAGAAGATCTAAAAAAAATAACTTGTTTTATTCCAAAACTTAGATTAGAATTGTATTTATTTGATTTTATCAACTAGATTATAAAATAATTGGGAAGACATAAGAAACATATTTCCAAAATTTGTAGCTTTAAATAATTTATAAATTACAGCTATAAGATCTCCTTTAAAAGCTCAAGATTTAGAAGATATTATAGGTGCAATATAATATTTACCAAAATTGGAGAAACTTAAAATAAACTTAATTGCTTCAAATGCAAACGAATTAACATTAAAATTAATTCTAAAAATTGTCAGCCAGAAAAAATTGATAGAATTTGGAATTTCCTTTGGATACAGCTAAATTTTATCAGATGATTTTATTAGACAAATGAATTAATTCAAAGAGTAATTAAAAGGAATACAGAAGATTTATATTAGTAATCAGCTACATGAATTTACTGAATAATAATAGAATTTGCTTTAATCATACTTAAATTAAATTGAATTTTTTGGGTGAGGATTATATTTGATTTAATTATAGATTTCAATCTTAAGGGATTTCTATTTAAAGGTTTTTTTTTTTAATTCCAACCACTTTCTTCCTTCCACTTTCTATAGTTTGTTTTTTTTCTTCCTCATCTGGAGGGGATTTTGGAGAATGAGGAGACTATTAATTAATTATTTCTCTTTCAGATTTTTCAAGATCAAGAAACATCTTACCTGTCTATTTATTTTATTCAGGTTGTTCTTATTAATACATGCGATTAGTTTTCGTGAAAGAATTTGTTTAGCTTAAAATTTATGGTTAGGTATTAACATTATCTGTTCGACTCTCTTATTTGCGATCGCAAGAATTAACATATTATTGTAATTTATTAATTTCCTCTTCAAGCTTTTTGTTTCTTGTTTATTATTTTTTACGAATATAAATGAATAAAGCAATACTCAGGAAAACTAGAAAAATAATAACAAACACTATTATGTAGATTTCTGAATTATCTGAGTCTTTATCCATTATTGAAATTTTATTATTTAACTATAAAAGCAATTATAATTTGGTAAAAAATACGAAATACTTCAATGCATAAATTAGGGACATTATTAATGCAAATATTTCCAAATGATTCATGATAAATTTTTAGGCTTTGATTATTTTGAAGAAAATAAATAATCATATGCTAAAAAATGTTTTTAGATAATTCTTCTTATTTTTTTACTAATAAAAATAGTTTAATTATTTATATATTGATTTATAACTTATGGAGATTTTAATAATCATCAATTTTATTTTTTATTATTATAATCGAGATTGTTTAATTAATACTCTTCCTTTTATATCATCTATAATTACCTATTATTTTTTAATAAATTTTGATAAATCAATAAAAATATTGCAAATAGCAACTCAAGTTCAAAAATTGAATTCATATTTAAGATAAACTTTTATTGAATTTTTTTTTTTTTTTAAATCTAAGAAGATCAAAAGCTGTAATTTATAAATGTCCTTAGTAGTTCCCCTACAAGCATTCTATACTTTCCAAAAAATAGTTGCACTATTGCTATTTACTTTTTTACATATTTATAGTTTATCTTCTATAATTATAATTCTAATCATTATTAAATTAATTCGGTTATATATTAGAAAAATTTATTTATTTGTTTTTCTATATGAGTTACAATTTATTTTTATTATTAATTTTTATCTATGTAGGATATCAGCCCCTTGTTCTGTATTTCTACTTCAAAGCTATTTAATGATCTCCAATAATAACTTACCCATTAATATTCAAAAATTACTCAAATATTGAAGAAATAGAAAATTTCCTTAGTTTACTACAATATAATAAACCAAACCTTATCGAGAAAAATTAAATATTTTATAGGAATATCATCTTGACCTCTTTTAAAATTATCATTAGTTTTCTCTTTTAAAACTTAATTATCTTAAAAAATAATTAGCCTTAACCCACTGTGAATACATAATAAATATATTTTAACAATAATAAAAATGGACTAAAAACTAGTTAATATGTATCCAAATATTGCATCCCAACGAGTTTGTTTTTAAACAAACATTTTTGTTGTTTCTTTATGAATTTCTATATTAAAAATTAATTTAAAAGTTGGTAATAAAATAAGCCCTCAAATTTTGATCATAAATACATAAAGAAAATAAGGAAAAATAACTCTCATTTATTAAACTGTATTTTAAATATAACACTTCATCTGAACTTTGATCATTTTTTAATCCTAAACCCATATAAGTAAATTATCACTCCTACTTGAAATAATCTAATTCATCTATTGATAACAATACTATAATCTATCCAGTATTATTCACTTTAATAACAATTATTTTTAGTCATTTTTATTTAAAAAATTTTAATTTTTCAATAGAATAAGTTTAAAGTAGCAAAATCTTCTTTAAATGATTTTTTACCTAAAATATATATTTTAATTTAAATTAAAATCTTATCTTCAATTTTATATTATTTGATATAGGACTAATTAAATTAAAAAATATTTTCTTTCTTTTGTATAAAAATCTATTTTCCGACTATTGTGCTTTTGAAAAAATATTGATTTTGCTAGCCTAAAAGATTTGTTATTTATCATTAACTAATGAAGATATAATTAATAATTTCATTAATAGAGATTATTCAAAATTGTATTAACTTTTCTCTAATATCAAAAATATAAATTTATATAAGAATATAAGACAATTAGAAATTGTATTTTGATTAAAGTTTTATTAAAAATCATAAAAAATTCATTTTATTTTGCATGCATGACTTGAAAAGTAATAAGACAAAGGTTTATGTACAGTTTTGTTATTATTGATTATATTTGTGGTTTACTAATCTTAATGATCACTTTAAACTCTTTTAATTTTTCTATAAAATACTGAATAATTTTCATTCCTATTTTTAATTCTTGCTTCCAATGTGAGTTATCTTGGAGTCAATACTTAAGCATCCATTTCTTTATAACTTAGAATTTTTATTAGCGTTTGATTTTCTTATTTATTTATGTATTTTTCAATAGATTTAGATATTCTTAATCGAAATCTTGAGATTAGATGAGATGCTTTAACTTGTGAATGAGCATCTCTCTAAGTAGTTCTTGTAGATAAAAGATTTCTTTATACTTAATTTTCAACTCTTTCGGTAAGATTGGGATATAAAGGATTAATATTTTATGGCTTAATACTATTTTTGCTTACCATCAACTAAAATCTTTTTGAAATTTCAATTCTTTGTTATTAGGTTATATTTGTTATCTTATTTGAATTAGATCGAATATTTCTAGGGCTTTTTAGATTTAAATAGTGAATTAGAGTATTTTCATTTTACATTGAATTACTAATATAAATAGAAATTAAAATTCGAAAAAATTAACTATTTCATAAATATATTGTATATTCATGTAGAATAAATTTATCAATCTTTGTTTAGAAATTTGAAGCCAACAAAATTTCAAATAGAATGGATTTCTTGAATTCGAAATTTACACAAAATTTATTCCTTCATGCCTTAAATTAAATCAGAATTACAAAAATAAATTCTACAATTATTTATTTTTATAGCCAATCAGTATAATAAATATTTGCTAATTTCTCTCGCAGAATTTTCCGCATAACATTATTAATTAACCAAGAATATTTAATAGGAAAGGCTTTAAAATATTATTAAATTCTGTCATTTCATCATTTTTCACCAATTATTTTATTAAATAATGAAGTATTTCTGGGTTAGCTTATAATCATTATGATTAAATAGTAAATTGTGATATTTAAATAGGAATTGCAATCCCTATCTTCTATTTATTATGAGAGAAAAACTTAACCATAATGTGATGAATGCCAAAATAAATTTGGTCAAGATTGATTTTTAGCATGGTATTCTATTTAGTTAAAGTTCATTTATTTTGGAAAAAATTTTATTAATTAATTTAGAATAATAGAAATAAACTTATGCAATAAAAAAAATATAGAATAAGAATTTTGAATAGCTAATTGGAGAAATTGTTAGAATGTGAGATGAATGAAAATGTTACTGGTGAAGATATTTTAGAATTATATGAAGCATTTGTAAAGAATTAGTAAAAATTTATGTAATTATAGAAATCAAGCATCTGTAAATCTAAAAGGACTTGAAATTTATAGTTAATTCAAAAAAAAGGTAATGAATATAAAAGAAACCCTTCATGAAATTTTAAAAAGCTAAGAAAATGATGAATTAATAATAAGAAATCAATCTTTATCAAAATTATCATCATATATTTAATAAAAACCACCTGTTTACAATTAAAATAATGATGAATTTTCAAAAAATTATCAATCTTTATCAACATAATCATAAATTTAAGCAAAATAACCTGTTTATAATTAAAATAATGATGAATTTTAAAAAAAACATCAATATTTATCAACATAATCATAAATTTAATCATAACCACCTGTTTATAATTAAAATAATGATGAATTTTCAAAAATAAATCAATCTAAAAATTATGTAGAAATATAATCAAAATCATCTTTTCATAATTAAAATAATGATGAATTTTCAAAAATATATCAATCTAAAAATTAAGCAGAAATATAATCAAAATCATCGTTTCATAATTAAAATAATGATGAATTTTCAAAAATAAATCAATCTAAAAATTATGTAGAAATATAATCAAAAGCATCTTTTCATAATTAAAATAATGATGAATTTTCAAAAATATATCAATCTAAAAATTAATCATAAATTTAATCATAACTACCTGTTTATAATTAAAATAATGATGAATTTTCAAAAATAAATCAACCTAAAAATTAATCAGAAATTTAATCAAAATAGCTAATTCAAAACAAAAATAATGAAATATTTATATTCCAAAATTAATATTTATCATCATAATCTGAACTTTAACACATTCAAATCTTAATTAAATTATGTTTTAATTAGATTAGTTGTAACAAATAGTAATCTTTTTAATTTAGCCGACATGATTAGTTATCAAAAGTGGGTGATAAAGTTTTATAATGGATTAATAAAAAAAAGTATTCAAAAATACAATTATTAGAGAAGAATGTGGATTAAAATTTACAATCAAAGGAAAAGATTATTGGCCTTTCTTTGTGAATTTGAGTTTAATAGATTTAAATCTTATAAATCAAGATGAAATCTTAGTAGAAATCCTTTTTAAATTAGTTGTAGTTTTACAAGATGGTAAAGATAAAAGTTACGATATTTATATAAATTAGTATAAGAGATTATCAGATTTATTTTAAGAAGTCTTGATAAAGTTTAGCTTAAAAGAGTATTTAAATAAATTAATATATTAGGGAGGGCCTTAGTATGGAATTTTAGATCAAAAATGACATTTATAACCAAAGTTAATTTGATAAAACTCTGTCTGAATTAAATATAGAGGGAAAGGAGAAAATAATTGCAAGAGTTCGTTATTCAGGTGGTTCATCCAACAAAAGAAAAAGCATCTATAACTTTAGAAAATAAATTTTATGAGAGTTTTCATTGTTATTAATTTTTCATTAATCCCTGTTAAATTGTAAGAAATCGAAAAATAAAATCATTAAGTTAAAGAATTTTTGAGTCAAGGATTAATAAGAGGTTTTATTGATTTTCCTTATATTAAAGAAAGGTTTAAAATTCAAAATCTAATAGCTCTTTGTTCTAAAATATTACAATCTTAAATGATGTATTGATATATATCCATTATCATCTAGATTTACCTGTTTTATTTCATTTATTCGATTTGATCGAATTAAGCCCTTTTTTATTTCTAATTATTCTTGATGATAGTTGTTATAGATACCTTTTTTCATTATTTTCTTCTTCAGATTTTCAAAGCTTATTTTATGCTCTATAGGTTTTTTAATGTTAGATCTTAAGATCTCAGATATTCTTTATCTTTTAAACTCTTGTTTTTAATTTATGATAAGCATTCCTTTCCTGAGTTTTAAATATGTTGTCCTTAATTTGCATTCTTTAATTCTCTTGAAAATTCATGCATCTTAAATTTTTGTTTTCAATTCCAGCTAAACCATGAATTATTTTCACTTCTATTCATTTTTCAATAAACTCAATAATAAATAATATGAAATAGAGAACTTTTTTGTGATTCTTTCTTTACGGAATACAAATCATTTAATTAATATTATTCAGTTATTTTAAAAATTTTATTGATTCAATGTATATCATCTTCAAAATTTTCTCTCCTATTATCTCAAATCTTTTAATCAAAACATCCTGATATCTTGTTGGGTAAGATCAATAAAATAGGAATAGCCTTTTAAATATACTTTCAAATAAGAGAATGAACGAATCAAAAATAAACAACTTTTAAAAATATTGTAAAATATGTTAATTTTCAGTTATTTTTCTATAAGAGTATTAGTCTTACTCGAAAATTTATTCCATGGCTATATACTTTATAGTTGAAATCAATATAAATTTGTCAGATCTATCTTTGTAAAAGTATCCAATTATGACCTTTCAATCTTTTATAGTCTTGATAGATTGCAATTTTCTAAATAAAGCTATCCTCTTTCTATTTGTATGGAAAATAAGATTAAATTTTACATTTTTTATAAAGGCTGAGTTGTAGATTGACCTAAATGAGTCACATTAATTAAAACGTCCTTTTCTATAAATATTTTAGGTGACCAAGGTATTGGCTTGTAATCATTATTCTCTTATTAAATCTATTCAACAATTTTATTGATAAAGTAATCATTTTTTAGCCTTTTTAAAATATGTTTTGAAATGAATTTTAGTTTAATTATTTATTAAGTTGAAAAATACTTTAATTTTTAGTTGAAAGCTAATGATAAACAAACCATTTTGATTTTTAAACTTAAGGTTTTAATGAAAACTTTTTTGAGAATAATATGTAATGTTAAATATTAAGATTATCTATAATTTCTAACATGACATATACCAAATTCATTAAAGTATCTATTTAATTAAAATTTCAATCTGCAACTTTATTCACTTTGACTAATATCTATTACAATACTGCAAATTAAAATAAATAAATCAAAAAAATCATCTTTTTATCACTAGAAACATTTTTTGAACTTGGAATAAATTTTGAAATTGATCAGAAGGATCCATTATTTATATGACTATTCTTTAAAAATTTCTCTAAAGTATAATTTTGAACCTAAAATACCTTTATCAGAAAAAGAAACAGATCTTTACCATCTTGGAAATATAACATATTTTAATTTTTTAATAGACAATAGTTGCATTACCAGATTTCATGGTTGCCTTTAAATTTCAACTTCTTCAACCTGACTATCTAAAAATAAAGTGTAATTTTAATATAATTAATATTATAATAATGTTCTAAACAAATAAATAAGAGATTTGAGTTTGTATTTTTATTTTCTTAGTATTTGAATTTGTGATAATATAAATATTAATGTTAAAGAAACCTTAATAATAACAACCAACTAAACCAAGCACAAGAATTCCCACATTGGCTAATGATGAAAATCAATAACAATAGGTTTGGCTTAGTATTCATAATTTAGAAATCTGAATAAGCCCAAAAATACTCTCTAAATCAAATTGTTGGAAATGGCACTTTTGGAATGGTTTATTTAGTATTGCATTTTATCATCTTTCTAGGCCACCAATTCTGTTACAGGAGAAAAAGTAGCCATTAAAAAAGTATTTCAAGATAAGAGGTATAAAAACAGAGAGCATTTAATCATTTAAGAACTCAATCACCCATGTGTAATAAAGTTAAAGGAAGCTTTTTTCACTTAAGGAGATAAAGTATTTATGCATTTAATCTTAAGGGTGACGATGTTTATTTGAATTTGGTTATGGATTATATACCTGATACATTAAGCAAAGTAGTTAGATATTACAGAAAAGCAAAATAGCAATTTCCTAATGTCTTATTAAAAGTATATGGATATCAAATGTTCAGAGCTCTAGCATATATGGAAGGTAACTTCACTAGTTTAAAATTAGGAATCGGTATTTGCCATAGAGACATTAAACCTTAAAATATATTGGTCGATCCAGCAACACATGTGCTTAAGATATGTGATTTTGGATCAGCTAAGAAACTTTAAAAAGGTGAACCTAATGTAGCATACATCTGCTCTCGTTATTATAGAGCACCTGAATTAATTTATGGAGCTACTGAATACAGTACAGCAATTGATGTATGGTCCATTGGTTGTGTTATTGCAGAAATGCTTATTGGAGAGCCTCTCTTTCCAGGAGAAAGTGCAACCGATCAGTTAGTTGAAATAATTAAAATTTTGGGAACTCCCACCTAAGAACAAGTTAAAATGATGAATCCTCAGCATAAAGACTTTAAGTTTCCTCTCATCAAATGCCATCCTTGGTAGAAAGTAATTTATATATTCTCTATTGATTTCTAGGTATTTGCCAAATTCAAACCAGATGCTCTTTTTATTGATCTAATTTCTAAACTTATGGTATATCCTCCAAAAGAAAGATTGAGACCACTTGAAGCTCTTGTGCATCCTTTCTTTAATGATTTAAGATAACCTGGATTTGGCATTCCTAATTAGACTTTACCAGACTTTTTTGATTTTACTAAAGGTACTAATTAATTGTCATTATTTATAGAGGAACTCTCTATTTAACCTGAAATTGCACCCAAATTATACCCAACTTGGCAACAAAAGAAATAATGAAAATTACATAACTTATTATATATAATTTATATAATGAATCCAGTCAGAGTATTTCCATTGAAATTCAACGAATAACAAAATACTCAAAGTACTTCAAATTCCCCATAATTAAAGAAAAAGCAGATTCCAAAAGTACTGGAAAAACCATTGCTTATAAATATGTCTCCCATTTAGTAAAAATCAAAATTCATTGAAGAAACGGACAATCACCAATCAAGAGTAAATTTAATGTAAAACGATTAAATTTTAATCCTAAATAAGATGACAAATTTTAATTTGTATTAAATTATAAGATTTTCATAGACCTAATACTAAAGACCATCTTAATCAATTAGTTAATCCCCAAAGAAGAGAGTTATTAATGGAGTAAACAATAATGAAGTATTATCAATCCATAAATAGTCATTATCTCCAATGAAACTACCTAATCTACGAAAAGCAGACACTTAATTAAATAACAATTTACTAATCAAAGACAATACGCTTTACGAAATGAAAAGTTCCAAAAGAAAAGATACAACAACAGATGGAACCTCTTCAGTAAATCGTTTTCTTAAACATATTAGTAATAAATTAGAGGATCAATTTTTAAATTGATTTCTGATGCTACTAATTCTAATTCAAGACCTTCAGTATCAAGGATGAAATTGGCATCTTAAACTATTGATCAAGAAATTATACCAAAAGTATCTTCTCAAATGGTTATGTTACATGGACGATCATCAAGTTAAGCTACTTTAGTAAATACATTTGTCCTTGATGATTAAATGCAAGATTATGTTAATTTATATTATTCCAAGTATTTTTAATCAATATTAGATCGTAACCTGGTTAAAATGGATAAGGATAAGCTAAAACTAATTAAGACAGTATTATTGTTACTAATAATTTGGGTGGAATTATAAATAGATACATATTTTCAGTTTGCGATGGCCATGGTGTTTATGGACATTATGTGTCGTAATTAGTTAAAAAATTATTACCAAATATCATAGATTAATAAATAAAATCAACTATTGGAATTTAAGAAAAAGACATAAGTGAGAATCATTATACTGATATAACTAAAGTAATGACTTAAAGCTTTTTGAAAATGCAAAAAGATTTATCAAATTGTGGAATTGACACAACATTTAGTGGAACAACTTGTTCTTTAGTTTTAGTTTCAGGACCTCATTTATGGTGTGCCAATATAGGAGATTCAAGATCTGTAAATTAATTTTAAAATAAACTTTTAGATATTAATATAGTAATAAAATAATTAGAAATGGAAAACCATTGAATTAAGCAACGATCATAAACCAGATTTACCAAATGAATACAAAAGAATAATATCTTTAAAGGCAGAGTTTAACCATTCATCAGTGAAAATGGGGAATTGATAGGACCACCAAGAGTATGGTTGTTACATGATTAAATTCCAGGATTAGCTATGAGTAGATCTTTTGGAGACTATGTTGCATCAACTGTTGGAGTAAGTTGTGAACCTGAGATAATTCATTATAGAATGAATTCTAATTTTGCATTCTTAGTTGTTGCAAGTGATGGAGTATGGGAATTCTTTTCTAATGATGAAATCTAAAAAATTATTGTCTAGAATTGGTAACAAAATATGACAGCTAAAAAATTAACCGAGATTTGCGATCATATTATTAAACTATCTACATAAAGATGGCATTAAGAAGATGAAGTAGTTGATGACATTTCAATTATAATTGCTTATCTCTAAAAACCATGATAATTTTATTATTTAATTTTTTTTTTCATTATTTTCGAAAATTACTTCTTTTATTCTACTTAATAGTTATTAAAAAAGTAAAATCTCAAAAGATATTTTTTTATGAATCATTTTCTATATAAACTGTTAATACATTATTATTCAAAAAATAATAATCTCAATTAAATACAAAATTAGACATATTCTAACTTTTTTTTTTTTAATAAATTTACTCTTGAATATTTAAAATATTAATTAATGTAAAACAATAACCACTATTTAAGATAAATATTGAACCTTAATCCATACAAATGATATTAAAGATTAAAAGTAAAGTCTGAAATAGAAAAAATCTTTAATAATCACGATTAGATCGAAAAAGGAATTTGTAAAAAAGTAAAGATTTTATTTATGCTATAAAAGTTGAAATGAAAAAAAGAAAAAAAAAATCTATCAAGTAATATGTTCTGTATTTATAAGTTTAACAAGAGAAATTTGCTTATATTCTACTCATAAACTTTACCATGCAAAATTTATGATATAAAATAAAATACAATTTGGACTTATTTTTATTAAACTTAAATTTGTTTGAAAATTAAGTAATATCAGTGTTTCGAAATAATCATAGAGATGAAAAAAGCCTTAGATTTCAAAAGATACTGCTTTCCCTATAAGGATTAGAATGATTCTCTTCCTGCTGATATAATATTAGTCTTTAAAAATCTATGTGTTTTATGATTTTAGTTTAATTTTTTTAAGTTAAAAATATTATGAACTTAAAAAAAATTAATGAATTACTAATTGTGTTTTGAAGATATAATAAAAACGAGCAAGATAATTACCTATCATCCAGTTAATTATCAAGTTGATATCAGATATAAAAAAAGGATTTTTTTTATAATTTAGTTAATTGTTATGGGATTTTAATAAAAACTTAATTAGTTATTATTAAGTAATAAAAAATCAATCAAAATAGAATGAATTATATTAAGTATTTCTTAAAAGTTTTGATATATTGAAAATTAGTTTTAGAAAGGTAAACAATGATTAAAGAATTTTTTAAATATGACAAAAGAAATTTGATTTTAAAAAATATAAAAGAACAAACCAATAGAAATCAAAAGTCAAAAAATAGCACATTTATCACAACAATTACTATGTTGTGGTGGATCCATTACAACAATATCTTAGACTTATGGATTTTTTTAGTTTAAGTTGGATGGTGGTTCTGTAACAGGAGGGTTGATTTGTTACTAAGTTTATATGGTTTTTTGACTTTGTTTAATTGAAGGTCTTCTTTATATTTCGATCTGCTCTTTTAATTCTTTGTGCATTTTTTTGATCTTTTCACCTTAACAATAAAATATATAATTTACCTTCTGCTATAAAGATATTATTAGAAACTTATGAACCAGAGTATTTAGACATTTCTAATTTGAGCAATCGTGCTTATTCAATTATAGGATGAAAATAATCATAAGCTTACAATTTTTTATCATCATCAAATTCATCTTTCAATCGATATTGTGGTCGATCAGGAGTAGCAGGTTGATTTTCAGGATATTAAATAAGTATACAATGATCTTTGACAAACTATTAAAAAATCTTAATTGAATCTACAAATGGACCAGCCTTGATGTAACTGTGTAGAAATTTAATTTATACCCTGCAGATCCTTTAAGTGTATGACTATTAATCATAGCCTAAACCCAATCTTTATTTAGCATTCCTTAAAGAAATCCTTCCATTCTTAAATCGAAACATGTAGATTCAAAGTTTTGTATGATCATTTCAGCCATTTCACCATATTCCTTTTACAATTCTGTAAAATTTATAATCATATCTGCCATATTAATATTATTTAATTAATTTCATTTTCCATACTGCATAGCCAAATTTTATTATCCTGGAGGAAAATATTTGATAAGATCTTCCTTATTTAAATCATCAAAGAAAGGATGTTTCATGGCTTCCTTAACATAAATTCTCTTAGCTGGATCTAAAGCAATCATTTTGGTAACTAAATCTAAACCAATCTATTATAAGATAGAGATTAATGGATATACCTTTTCAAAGTTCTTAAAAAACTATTCAGGTGGTGTTGGTCTAAATCTAGGAAAGGTAGGTTTAAAGTCTGGTAAATCTGCAATATTTGGCCAATCTTAAACAGTTGGGGTTCCATGATATTAGAAAATCTTGAAGATTTGATCAATTTCACTATCACCACAAAACAATCCATGCTTTTCAACCATTTCTGTTAAAATACATCCAACAGACCAAATATCAACACCCAATGAATATTACTTTTATGATAATAAGATTTCTGGTGCTCTGTACCATAAAGTTTCTACTTCATGAGTTAAGGTTTTAATAGGAACACCAAAAGCTCTTGCTAAACCAAAGTCCGCCAATTTAATAATTCCTGTTGATTTATCAATCAATATGTTTTATGGTTTAAGATCTCTATGAATAATACGTCGAGAATGACAATAATTCAAACCATTCAAAATTTAGAATGTAAAATGCTAATTATTCAACATGTTTTTCATACTTTAATTTGACTGATTGTAAGATTGTGTTTATTTTAATCAAGGAATTTCTTAAAATCCATCTCTACATACTCAAAAACTAAATAGAGCTTTTTCTCATTTGGTTGGTAAATCACTTCCTTTAAACCTACAATATTAGGATGAGGTTAAAGTTCTTTCAAAATTGAGATTTCTCTCATAGCAGTAGAAGGAACACCTTCATCTTCATTTTCTAATTTGATTTTCTTTAGTGCTACTAATTCTTTAGTCACTGAATCACGTGCCTTATAAACAACACCATAGGTTCCTAAACACATTTGAATTATATATTACCTTCACCAATCTTTTCTAATTTTTCATACCTTTCTAACTATCTATTATTGGTACCCATCTTATCACCTCCTCTCAAATCATAGAAATTTTGTGCTTTCATATAACATAATCATACTTAGCATTTTTGTAAAATAAATTCAAAAATTAAAATATTAACTGTTATTTAAATCAATCTTTTAGAGAAAAACTTAGCTGATCAAATACCAAAATTTAACTTTACTTAACTCATAAGAATTCTCTAAATTTCATTTTTCCATATTTATATATTTTTATATAATATCATTTCTTTAAATAAATCACACATTTATATTCAACACTTTGTTCTAAACTTTCCAATCTCCCTATTCTATAACCACCTTATCCATGAAATAACCATAAAGAAAATCTTAAATCTCCTTCCTCATTTTCAACATCAGGATATTTTAAATCAACTTTATTTATTGGACTAAATCCAATGCAACGATTTCGAAAATAATACCAATAAATATCACCATTTCTACTCTTCCTTGCCAACCTTAAATCCTATGTTTCTGTGTAAAACTCATATGCATAATCTGTTGCACATAAAATAAATTAATCTGGATCATTCACACTTACTCCTCCTATGCAAATTTATGATTATGGAGTGCATCTTTACTTTATTAATTCTATATGGGTTTAAGTAAATGGTTTATTGAAAAGCTCTTCATAAATCTTTGTAAACCCTTTCATTTCTAAAGTTTTGAATTTAACTTACTTTTAAATACAAAAGGGTGACTGATTTATTGTACCAAATACACTCTACTAATCAAAATCGATCCTTTGCATTGATTATGTTTCACTTTTATCATTAGGGAAGATCCGACGACTTTACATCAAATAACTCAAAGGTTTTTCTATTAAGTTAGTAATACTGTTAATCTAATATAACAAATCTTGTATTTATTCTGCAAAACTCTAATGAAGAATATTAGATTTAGTTATGAGTGAAATATCTTTGCAAAAAAGAGTGGCATCAAAAATTAATTTTTAAGCAAGACTTTAGAATTTATCATTTGGTTCATAATCTATCGGTTTGAAATCTGGAATACCATTATTATAATGGATGATATCACAAACATCTTTTGCTAATTATTCATAATCTTTTTCAGTTAGATTTTGCTAATCAATATATTTACGTTTTAAAATGCCTACTTTACTCTCTTAGATATCCTAATTAACAAATTATGTTATCTAGTCTTAAAGCAATTTAACTTTATTGAGTATAGCAGCAATACTCATTTGAATAGAATCTGTCAAATCTTTATTCTTTTGATTGTATTATTTAATTTCCCGAGTCCATTCATTTTTGATAAGAGTATCTAAGGTTGATAGATTGATTGATTTATGCCCATAATGTTCTTCTCCTAAACAGAGACCGCATAATGCTTTTTTTGAAATCTAACACTTAGAATCAAGACATAAATGAATAATCTTCTAATCTACTTCTTAGTGTTCTTGAATAGAGCAAACAACAGTGGTAGCTTTTTTGAGTAGATTCATTAATTAAAATAATTTATATTCAATGAACTGGAAGATCTGGATGTCTAGACAATTAGGAATAACGATTTTCAAGAGCATTACGAGTTTATACTGGTTTAGATGAAGTTTGTTTAACTTCTTGTTAGAGAGGTACAACTTTTTGAGATCCTATTTATTTACAAAAGATATCCTCAGGAATTAATTTGAGTATAAGACATCCTAATAATGAGATACTACCAAATCCAATGCCTATTAACCATTGTTTAATTTATAATCCATAAAAACCATAAAGTCCAATTGCAGCAGATCCAAAAGTAACCATCAAAACTTGAATACAGAAAATGAAAGGAACTATAATAAGGAAAGCAGAGTGATTAGAAATATTATCAAGTATATTGATTTCATCAGTTATTCTTCTGCTATTTAAGAAATTAAATAATTATAACATGATGAATACATTAAACACATAGGTGAACTGAAATAAATATAAATAATTACATGTCTACTACCTTCATGTTCTATATTATACATTATATAATAATCTTAGTCTCCCTAAACTGTCATAAATCTTCCACTAGCAACAATTGAACATGAATCTTCATTGTATAAACAAGGAGGACATTAGATTTCATAACATTCTTAATTTTTACATACACATTTTGTTTATAAACATTAATCAGAATCATCTGGATTATCAGTAGATGATGTTTGATTAAGTTTAGTAAGTCCTAATGATTTTAATTATTCAAAATCAGTAATACAATTGTGATTGCTATACTTAAATCTAATTTTAGGACCACTAAATACAGATGAATCATAATCATCTTGATATTCTGGTAAAAATTTATCTCCTAAAAAAACAATAATTAAAACAACCCCAACTTAAATGAGTGCTGTTCCTACAATAAACTTAAACATCTTTTTAGATATAATGTATTCATTTCTATCATGAGGTTTACGATTCAACAATTTTTCAGATGGAGGTTCTGTAGCCAAAGCTAATGATCCTAAAGTGTCCATAATTAGATTAACCCAAAGTAATTAAATAGGCTTTAATATTTCTTATCTTAATAGAGCAGCCCCAATCAAAGTCAATGAAACACTAACTAAATTAGCAGTCAATTAAAATCTCAGAAATTTCTTTATATTATCATAAACATTTCTACCCCACATCACAGCCTTAACTATGGAATTGAAATTGTCATCCAATAAAATGATAGCTGCAGCTTCTCTTGCAACTTCAGTTCCTGAGACTCCCATTGCAAATCCAACATCTGCTTTTTTTAAAGCTGGAGCATCATTAGTACCATCTCCAGTTACAGCAACTACATGATTTCTTTCAATTAAACCAGTAACTAAAGCATACTTATCTTCTGGTCTACTACGAGCCAAAACATCAAGATTTGGATAAATCTTATCAAACTCTTCAGCATTTGCTATTGTGTCAATCCTTAATTTCTTGTTCTCTTTCTCTGCTGTTTAACTATCTCTCACACAATTACAATCATCTGGATGGCAATTCTTGCAAACAACACCTCCAATCCTTCTTACAAATTCAGGTCCTTCCATAACAATACTATCTTCAGAATTGCTTATTATTCCACATTCATTTGCTATTGCTCTTGCTGTAGTAATATTATCACCAGTCACCATCCTTACTTTTATTCCTGCTCTTTTACATAATTCAATAGCTCTAGGAACTTCCTATCTAATAATATCCTTTATTCCTAAGACTGCTAAAAGAATTAAATCATTTTATTCAATATTATAAACACCTTTATCATCTTTGCTTGTTAAATCTGCACCATTAGAAATATTTTTATAAGCTAAGCATATTGTTCTTAATGCTTTTTTTGCCATACTTTCAATGGCTTCTTCAACAATTCTTGAATCAATTCTCTTAACTCCATCTTTCTTAGAATGATATTAAGTACAAGCAGCTAATACCATTTCTGATGCTCCTTTGCATACTAATCTTTAGGATCCTTCTACATCTAGAATTAGAGACATTCTCTTTCTTTGACTGCTAAAAGGATACTTAACTAGAATTGGATATTTATCTCTAAATTGTTCATAAGGTTGTTGACATCTATCCATAAATTCTAGAAATGAAATTTCTGTTTTAGATCCTTTTGGTTCAGGTCTAAGCATTGCACTTGAATTTACAATAGCAGATTATATAAATAGATCTGCCAATTATTATGGAAGACAGTCAGTCAAATTACAAGTTTAATATGATTCTAATTCAATTAAGTTATCATTCCAAATATTAACAAGAGTCATCTTATTTTATGTTAAAGTTCCAGTTTTATCAGAACATATCATAGATGCTCCACCCATAGTTTCACATGCAGCCATTTTCCTTACTAGATTTTGATCTCTAAGCATTTATTTAGTAGAATAAGCCAAAGAAAGTGTTACTGCCAAAGGTAAGCCCTCTGGAATAGCAACTACAATAACTGTAATACCAATAATAAAGAAATTGACTATTTCTACAATATATTTATTTTCCCATTCAATTTAAGATTTCTCAATGGCAAATCTTATACACATAACAATAACTATAATGATTGCACTATATAATCCAAACTTACCTATATCTTCTGCAATGGCTGCTAATTTAACTTGTAAAGGAGTAGCTAATTAATTAATAAATAAAAAATACCTTCTGGTTCATCTTATCGAAGTAAAGCACTTATTTTACCAGCACAAGATAAATCTCCTACTACTAAAATAATCATTTTGCCTTCTCCTGTCAATACTCTTGTACCACTCATCATTATTGGAGATGGAACTTCATGATGACCAGCTGTTGCTGAATCTGTTTGATTTCTTTTTGTTATACAAAATGATAATTAATTCTTTTTTATTGGATCTGTCTCTCCTGTCATTGCTGACTCATCTGTTGTTAAATCTGATGCTTCAATTACCATTCCATCTGCAGGAATTTCCATTCCTTCAAATATCATTACTACATCTCCTACCAACACCTCACTCATATGAATATCAAATTTCTATCCTTTCCTAATTACTGTAACTCTTTTTCTTTCATCAGCTACTGCATTTAATTTTTAAAACTATTTCTCTTTTTGATAATCATTTATTGCATTTGCATTTGTAGATATTATCACCGCCACCAATATAGCAAAACCTTAAAACTCTTACATTTCTATTTACCTTCTATCCAAGCATAAGCACGGTAATCAGATGATGCTGTTGCTACATCTACTGCTATACTCACTAAAGCTGCTAAACACAAAATTCGCATTGTAAAGTCTTCTAAAGCACTCCATAACAATTAACAATATGACTTTGGAAGAATTACTGGTTTACGATTGTGACCAAAATTCTGTTCTCTCAAAACTACATCATTTAATTATAATCCATTCTTATAATTTGAACACAATGCCATCTATATTTTTAACTATCAATAACCTCTATAAATTCCTCTCCTCCCAATTCTTCTAATTTATCAATCTCCTCTGTAAATGTCCTTTCCTAACATGCATAAGCCACTTAACAAAGTTACTCTTTTGATACACGGAAATTTGTTGTATAAGGCTCAGTTCTTTAAGTGACATCAAAAATCATAATATATTTATTTAATTTCTATACTTTATGCTATATTTATTTCCCTACCCATCCAAAATTATTAATCATATTCAGATTTCGATTTTGTTTTCTTTTAAATTTGACTAATGATTAACATTTCTTCTTCTCGTTTTACAAAATCCTTAAATTTTAATACTGAACTCAAAAAAATCTTTCCGATTCACTAATTATTTTTACAAAAAATTCATTCTATATCAATCAAATTTATTAAATAAAATGTATAGAATATCATAAGATGAGTTTTATATAATAAATCTTTTTATCCAAGAATTTTATCATTTTTAGGAATATTGGATCTTTAGTAATGTTTTAAATGTAATAATTTTGCAGTTTCTTCATTTTGACACTTATTTCTGATTGAATTATTTTAATCCAAAATATGAATTCAATAAAGGATAATTTTAAAGATTAAATTAATATAATAACTATATGATTTTGAGACAATAATTTTTTAATAAAAATAACATATTGTTAATTGTATGAAACAGCATTAATATAGCTTTTATAGTAATTTTTGGATCTACTTGGAATCGAAATGACTTTGTATTTTTATTAGAAATTAGAATTGAATTTAATATGAAAAAAAATTTTTTTTGAATGAATTATAAAAATATAATAAAAAAATATGAATTATAAGCCGAATTTGAAGATGGACAGCACTTCTGGATCATTTAAAAAATAAGAATAAACTTTATCTTTAGAAAGCACTTAAAAATCAGATTCTTCAGCAATCAATACAAAACCAAATTTTGCTAGTAAACCATCATTCAATATTCGCAACCGCTCCACTCAACCATAAGAATAAGAACCTTAGTTAACAAACACTAAAGATGATTTCTTTAAAACAGGATCATTTTAAGAGAAAGTACCACTAAAGGATAGAATCTAACGATCAGACGAAAAGAAAAATACAGCTCCTCTTAATTAAGGACTTTATTTACCTGGATAGGAGGAGCTTTTTAAGAAATAAATATAAGTTGAAAAGAAGGAAACATAATAGCCTTAAGAAAAAAAGGAAGTTTAATAAGGTAAACAAACTTAATCAGATTCTTATAATCCATCAATTGGTTCTTTGAATAAACGTGAAGCAGCATTATTAGGTTCAAAAAATGCAATTGAAAACAAATTAGCTGTGGCTGATCAAACCAAAGTGCAATAACAACTTGGTATTGTATATGGTAATACAATTAGAGGAAGCTGAACCAATAGAAGAACTTGAATTAGTGCTATGTCCAGAAGGTTGTGGAAGACAATTTAAATAAGATGTATTAGAAAAGCATACAAAAGTGTGTAGATAAGTATTTCAACAGAAAAGATAAGAATTTAATTCTAAACAAGCTAGGATAGTGTCAAATGATTAATAAAAGTTATAACGACAAGGTTAAATAAAAGAAAAGTAGCTATAAAAGAAATAGGGTAAAGCTCCTCTTGACCCTAATTGGAAAAAACAATCTGAAGAGTTGCGTAATTTAATAAAAGAATAGAAATAATAGCAATGATTATTTAATGATTAATAATACAATCAAATCCTTATTTCATTCTTCCAAGACTGCTTAATCATAAAATCAATTTCACAATAAATGTGTATGTGAAATTTGTAAATGTGGAAAGCATCATTGTCCAATCCACACAAATAATATGCAAGGTGATTTCTAATCAACATTCTAGTATAAATAATGTTCTTAAATATAGACGAGACTATTAACCATGGAAATCGAATAAATAAAAGCCATTCAATTATGATAGATAACCATAATAACATTCATATGATCCATCTACTTTGAAGAGTTAATATTAAAGTGAATTCATTTAGAGACCTTTACCAGAAAAAGAAGCAAGATAATTACCTGAAATAACACCTACTTAACCATTTAATACTTTATCAGACTATTAAACTAATTATTAGAAGTATATTAATTACTAAATAGATTTCCATTGCCAATGAAACGTTCAGTAATAAAGTAGCCATATAAATCAGCTCCTAGATAAGTTCCATGGAATACAACTTATGGTGTAGATTTTATATAAAAACCTGTTGGAGGATGTGAATAATTCAAACCATAAGTAAGAGATGGTCCTAATGTTAATGTCGATTTTGGATCTACTACATATCAGACATCCTATATTCCAAAACCAATAACTAAATAAGAAAAATGTAGAGATCCACTTTAACGTAATATAAATGGAGATCCTGGTAATATTGGAAATTCAACCTATTAAATGGATTATACAGAAAAATAAAGAGATCAAAATTTCTGTCCTGTTTTAGCATTACCCAAAAGACCTAATTAATTAAAAGGAGGAAAATCCCATTTAAATTATGATGCAGTTACAAATAGATGGGTTTGATTATGAAACAATTAATAATAAATTCTTTCCTTTTTTCAACTTCTCATCTTTATGTTCGACTAATTCAAATACAAACATATTTATTTTTATAAAAAATTAACTATTTATTCCTATTTCTTTCTTATTATTTGATAATGATGCATTTTATTTTAAATAAAAATACGCACATATAAAGGGAATTTGCATCATTTCCAATAAATTAATTTTATTAATCAAAAAATACTTACTTTATTTTTGTTGATACAGATGATAATATGAATTAAGGCTTTGAGTGTTTTTGTTATGATTTAATATAAATCTATATTACTTAAGGAATAGGAACTCAACATTATTTTGATTAATTATTCATTATTATAAATTATAAACTAGAAGTTTAGTGAACCTTTTTAGATTATAGCTCACAATATATTTACCATTATTCCACCTTAATCACACATTTAAAATAGTTCATAAATAAAAAGCTAATAAAGAACGCAAGGCTCAAAATGAATATCTGAATCAGGCAAGAAAGATTATTTAAAAAGAGTGATAAAAGATTATCATATAATAAGCTTCATATTTGCTGAACTATTACTTATTTGTTTTGTTTCCTACTCTTCAGTAAAAGAGGATGTTTCCTTATTATTTATAAATAATCGATCTCAGTTTCTTTCAAAGTTTTACTATAACAAGATATGGTTTTTGAAGTTAGAATATCAATAATTTTAATGGTTTCCTTCTTATATTTCATTGATCGCATTAATTTTCATTCTAAGTCCAAAATTTAACTCTAGAATATTAATAAAAATAATGTTAAAACTAATATAGTATGATTAAATTGAATATAAAGATCTAATAAATAAAAATTGATAAAAATAAAAGAGTTAATTGTTGTATGTAAAAAATTAGAACTATCTTTAAGCATTTTGAAGGATTTTTAAACAAAATAGATATATAAGGAATATATTCTAGTATGAAAAATAATATAATAACATATTTATAAATGAATTAAAAGGAATAAATAAATCCTTTCAAAGCTTATGGAACTAAGGAAGTTTGGGAAAAAATAAATGAGTCTGGTAAAAATAAGGAAGTAAGTATTAGCATTATAAAGTTAGTATGTAAGATTTCCAGGTATTGGAATTGAACAAACTCCATTTTATTAGATGTAAAAATAACATGCAGAAAAAAATCAAAGCAAGAAATAAGACTTTTTAAGTAAGTTAAATAAATTTGAATATTTCCCATCAGGGAATTAAAAAAAATTAGATATACAAGGAATGGTATAGTTACATAATATGAATTAAGTTTTCTCAAATAGATGATGTTAAGAAATATTAGGCAAGAATGGAAAGGATAGATCCAATAAATAAAAATTGTATGTTTTAGAATGATTAATTAGTATTATAGCATAAATTGCACAAAGCATTAGAAACAGCTTCATTTTTATGGGGTGATTAGATGAGACATGATGGAAGTTTGGGGACGTTGGATTCAATAAATAACTTATTGAATTAATCATAAAAGAAGTTAGAATAAAGAAATCAGAACTCTCAATTTATATTTACAAAGGGACATCATAAGGTAAGGCTTGGACACGAAATATGAATATTAATCAATATGTTTTCTTATCTGCTTTGGTACCGATTAAATGATAAAGGATTATCATCACAACAATTCCTATTCCTAATGTGTTGCATAGCAGCATAATTTCATATTCCATAGTTTAATTTATATATAATCAATCAGAAATAAAAGTCCAATTATCAATAGCTTTCTTTTATTGAATTTATGAATCCTCTTCAAAATTAACTTAGATAGTTTGATTAGCTTAATTCATAATACTAGGCATAGGAACAGGTAATTTTTTATTCATTACATCATCCCAATTAATTCCTTAAAACCAAGAATGAGCCTTGACTTCTTCAGAATCCTTCTTAGCTCCTAGTCTTTTAGAAGGATTTCTTTCCAATAACTAAAGAAATAAATATTATATTACTTATGAGATAAATGAAAGGGCATCCTTAGATAGATTATTTTAAGGGAATTTAAGTTATTTATTTTTGATATTTTCAAATAGTTCTTCTCTATTATGACTATAATATGGTGGCATACCAAATAACATTTCATGTGTTATAGTACCTAATTAATACCAATCAACTGAACGATTGTATAATTTTTTATTTACTACTTCTGGTGCCATATAAGCAGGAGTTCCACAAAATGATTTAGTATCTTCATTTTCTATATCTGTTTTAGCTAAACCAAAATCTGTTAACATACAATGACCTTTATTGTCTATAATAATGTTTTAAGGTTTTAAATCCCTATACATTATTTTATTTTAATGAAGAGCTTCAATAGCTAAAATGATCTCAGCAGTATACATTTTAGCTATTTATTCTTGTAATTTTTATTTTAAATCTAATAGTTTAGTTAAATCTCCTCCTGGGCAAAAATCCATTACTAAAAATAATTTACATTCAGATTGAAATGCATAATGTAATTTAACAATAAAAGGATGATCAATAACAGATAATATAGATTTTTCAGTTTAAATATAAGGTAATAATTTTTAACTTATTTTTTCTTTTCTCAAAACTTTCATTGCATATAAACTGTTTTATTCGTCTTTTTTTTTAACTAGATAAACAACACCAAAAGAACCTTTTCCCAATTCTTTGTGATAAGTAAATGAATCCGGTCCAATATTATTACCACCAATTGGAACTACAGATTATCTTGCCTAATAATTTTATTTTGATAGAGAATTAGTTGGAACCGATTAACCCAAAAACTTCATTATTCTACTTATACTTTTACGATAAGATGAATTAAAGTCCTTAGATTCTTTAGATTCTTTGGTACTTTAAACTAGTCTTTCTCCAACATATTATTTTTCATACCCAAATTATTTGAATATTTATTGCTAATCGGTATTTGATATCAATTAAAGAGCATTAAGATTCTCTGCATTCTAAATATAAGGATCAGCTTTATATTTAAGTAGAATTGTAATTATCTCTAAACAGTTATTGTCTAAAGCTATATGAAGAGGAGTATTCATCAAAAAATCCTATCTATCTACATTTGCTTTATTATATAGTAGTAAAGTAACTAAATCTATGTGATTGTTTTTAACACTAACCATTAAAGGTGTATATCCATCACAATCTTATTCGTTTACAAGACTTCCTTTTTGTATAAGATGATAAGCTATTTAAAAATTACCAGAACTACAAGCAAAGTGTAAACATGTCTAATCATTTGAATCTTTAGCATTAATATCTATAAAATTTGAAGATTACATTATTGATTCTACAATTGAAAACTAACCTTATTTGCATGCTTTAATTAGCTCTAAAGTTTTTAACTGAGATTCTTTCCAAAAATCCTACCAAGCATTTTCCTTTTAGAATTAGATTTAATCATATTCAACTATCTAAGAAGTTCTTAGGTCGATTATTTCACCTGTGTCATTATCAAACATATAGAATTATTTAGTTGAAATCTCCATAGAATCAAATATAGCTCTTGTTTTGAATGATCTACTCAATATAATAACTTACTTTGATGGCTCTAAAGTTGTGGAGTGCGACTGTTCTTCATTAAATGATTGCATTAATAAAAATAATCAATCGATTATCATTCAAATTCATCAAAAATTAAATACTTGAGAATTAACTTCAAACTTTAAAAAAAAAAGAAGTTATCATTCCTTTCGCTTTTTTAAAGCTAAAAATATTATACCCCACTTAAATAATTTTAATTATTATTTTTCTTTTTTCAAAATATTCAATATTCTCTGCTTAATGTTTTAATAAAGGCTTTATCTAAAGATGATTTTCTATCAATAAAATGTAGCTTTTTATAATTTATTTTTAAATCCATACCTTAATTCATTTAACTAACAGTACCATTATAATTCTGATTATTTTGGCTTCAAAACTTTATTATTTTTTTAAAGTACATTTATTAAACTTTAGTAGAAGAATAAAAATTATAATTTTGAATAAATTGAGGAGCTTTAACTATAAATATTTAAAATAATATTCAAATGAATAAATACTCTTTAAATAATTTAATGCATAAAATCAACTGAAACAAGATTCAATTATATGAAAATATAATATGATTTTTCATAAAGATTAAATAATAATACATCAAGCATATGAATTAGTTAAAGTTTCCATTTTTCTTTCTTCTTTATCTAATAGTATTAAACTTTAATTAAATCTAGGTTTGTCAGATTTTGTAAATCTTCCTTAAACTCTATCTCTGAATTCTGCAAGATTTTTTCTGACTGGGTATCTATGGATATCAAAAATATAACATACCTCACTTACTTCCATAAACGATTATGTTTTTTTTCTAAATATGCTTTTACTTTAGCTGCCCTTTCCTCTTTACTTAATTTTTATCCTGGATTCAATAGTTTTTATTCAATCAAGAAATCATCAATAGTTCTCTTTTATCTTTCTTCCTCTACTTTAATTTCACCTTTTAAAACATTCTATGCTTCCGACATTAATTTTTCGTAATTAGCTGGCATTCCAAATGGAATATAATGTAGTCTCTGCTGAGATTATTATTAAAGATTTTAGATTTGTTATAGATCGTTAAAAGGTTTTGTTAAAAGATCTTCTGCTTCTAAATCTTCTCCTAATTTTAGATATTTTTGAATCCCCATCATCAAAGATGGTTGAGTTATTGGTCTTTCTGGTGGTCTTATTTATGTAATAGGAATCTTAACAAAAGGTTAGAAAGAACTTTAAGGATTTCCAGCACTTAATGTTAATCTATTAAAACTTTCATTCAATCTTTCTCCAGTTGAATCACTTCCTTCACTTCCAATACTAAGTTTCCTTCTTTTATTAATTATTTCATTATTCTAATTAGAATTATACAACTTAAATCCCTATGCTTGCAAATTCATTTTATTTTATTTATTTAAGGTTATTTGTACAATAAATATTTTATTATTTCATAAGATTTTCTATAAAAATAAATTGAAATCTATGTTTAATATTATATATACACAATTAGAAAAATTTAAAAGAGAAAAATCATTAATTTGTTAAAAAATTATAATGAGCAAATATTATAATTATCAGCTTATTTATTGAAAATTAGTAAGAATAATTGTCAAAAAGGATAATATATTAACTAAAAATAATATAAAAATAAACTATCATATTATCTTTGTTTAATTTAGATATCCAAATCAATATAATTTATTCATTACATCAGATTAACAAAATCTACCAATCATTTAGAATCTTTGTATTTTTTTAAATAGAGTTCTAAAATTTAAAATTAATTTGTTCTCTTAGATTAACATTCTAAGATATGCTCTCGTTATTATTTATTTTTATATTGGCTAAAAGTTTCAAAACTTTATTTTTTTAGATCAAGACAAGTTTAATTTTTAATTTAAAAGTATATGATTTGATTTTCTTCTTTCAGTCGAAGATATTTAAAATCACACTAATAAATTCAAAATTTAAGTTCTAAATAGAATTAAGAATAGCCTTTAGTGTTTATTTAAAATTGATCAAAGAAAAAGATTATCTTTTTTGTTAAATTACAAAAAAAACAATATAATTATAATCATTTTATTTAAATAAAGTATGATATTTTTAATTCTAATAGACTTAAATAGTTTTTTTTAAATTAAGAAAAGGATTAAAAAGATCTACTTGAATATCAATTTCATCGAAAGAACAAGAAAATTAATGAATAGTTAATATTTAACATGATGATTTTTACAATATGGTCATCTCAATTTATTATGTTATTTTCATATTAAATAAGTCAAATTTTATTATTTCCTCCCAAAAATCTGAGTTTTAATTCAATTGAATCTCCATCCTAAAGTTAAATTTGAGCTAAAGTCAATTTCCTTTTATCTTCACTATTATAAGATTCTCCTTTTATTAACAATTCAAAAGCAACTGCATTTCTTCTTTATATTTGAAAATTTACATTTCATATCCAAACTGTTATAATGCAATACTTGAAACAGTTATTAATGTTTCATTTCTATCGAAGACGAGCTGATGACAGGCCCCATTACATCTTAAGAAAATTTTTATTTGTCCTTTAACTTGAGGAAGTGTAAATTCAAAATATATTAGTCCTCCATCTTTTATGTTTAATTCACTTAATGTCATTTATTTATTTAAATTAGATAAGTTTTTTTATTCATAAAATAACTATAAGTTGTAATGGTTAGAAATACTATAACGGTCTTTCAAATAGTTCATCAATTCTTGTAAAGTTGTATCAAATGCTATTTTGATTTCTAAATTGTCATTTTAATTTTTCAAGAACAAAGAGAGCATTTTAGTTTAATCAGGGATTATAGGGTTTACTTAAATTTCTTATTCAGAAATCGACAACAGATCGTTCTATTTGAGACAAGAGCCTAACTATTTATCGATATTGTCATAATTTTATCCATTTGTTTTATTGTGTAAGTTTAGTTTATTTTTATCTTTTAAATTGAAAAATCTAGTTTTAGTCAGAAATTTATACTCATTGAAGTTATCATAGATCCATTCAATTAACTCTGATATTTTTTTATTCTAATTAAATCTTATTTCATATATTTTGTTAATCGCATTCGGAATTTGAAGCTTGATATTAATCATCAATAAAAAAAATAATACACTTTATAATTCTATTAAATCCATTTTAAAGGATTCATTTTTGTTTGATTTTGATTAAATAAATTATCAAATGAATTAAGATAAGACCTAATAGATTTAATAGCAAATTTAAACACAAGATTAAAGTATATAACCAATTTCTAATATTATAATAGATCAAGCACCATATTCAATTAATGGAGTTTCCTATAATCAGTAATAATATTATATGATCATGTAACAACAACAACACCCAAATTTTTATCATCAGAATATTCAATAATAGTCTCCACAGTCAATGGCTGTGATGCAGTAAATGCAATAGCAAAATATGCCCATGTAAAATATGGCAATGTAAAATATGGCAATGCAAAATATCCCCATGTAAAATATGGCAATGCAAAATATGGCAATGTAAAATATGGCAATGTAAAATATGGCAATGCAAAATATGCCCATGTAAAATATGTAAATTCAGCAATTGCAAAGTACTTTATTATAAAAGGATGGTCAAATATCTAGATAGGACCAAAAAATTAAGGAAAATGAAGCTGAAATTGAAAAATTATAGAAAAAGTTGGAAGAGAAGGAAACTGAGTTAAAAAAAATAAAAAAAGATTCTAAAAGTTAGATAGATGGCTTGAATACAAAATTAGAAGAAAAAAATGACGAAATAAAAAATAATGATTAAAGAATTATAAGATTGTAAAAAGAAAAGACTGATATTTAAAATAATATTACAAAAGAACTAAATAATAAAATAGCAGTCCTGGAGAAAGAATTAATATAGAAAGAAGATGAAATATTATCATAGAAATCTACTATAAATAGACTAGAGCAATAAAATTAATTTTTGAATGGAAAATAGCCAGATATTGAAAGATAGTTTAAATAATCGAATGAACAATTCGATGCAGAAAAAAAAAAAAATTAATAAGCTTTGAAGTTATAACGAGAATAGTACGAAGTAGTAATAAAAAAGTTAAATGAAGATCTAGAATAATAATAATAATAGATTGAGTAATTATCAAATTAGTAAGAAAAAGAGCATAAAAGTTTTATGGATGCAAGAGACGAAATAACTAAATTGTAATAAAGATTACAGAATTTACAAAAGGATTTGAAAATAAAAGATGAATCTATAAATAATTTGGAAACTCGAGTTAAGGATCTCAAATTTTAATTTGAATAAGAACAATAGAAATTAAAAACTTCTTAAGAAATGGTTACATAATTATAGGAATAGTAGGGAAAACTCAATTAAGAATATAGAAAATATATAGAAAATTTATAGAGTAATACCAAACCCGACAATAAAAGTAAATAAGAATTTGAGAAAAATTTATAATAACTATAGAACGGAATTCAAAATAATATTTAATAAAAATAGTAGTAAATGTAAATATTGGAAGAATAAAAAAAGAAGGAATATGAAGACAATAAAATAAAATAAAAATAATTTCAAGAGTAGAGAGATTACTAGAAAAAATAAGAGAATAAATTAATCAAAGAAATGTTAATGAAAAGAACAAAAGAATCACTAGAAGAATTTGGAAAATTAGATATATGTTATGTTGTAGATTGTACTAAGTAATTAAATATTAATTGATAATTTAGATCTATGGAACCATACATTGAATAAGCAAGAAGTTGTGTTAGAGAATCTTTGAAGATCATCAAATAACAGACTAACAGAGATACAATAATGTCTTCTATAGCTTTTTATGATATGGAATAAAAACCCCCCGGTGGGTATCATTAATTCACTTTTTCTAATAATGTTTAAGATTTTGAAAAGTTTATTACAAGTGTTCCTATTGTAGGAGGGCAAGATCCTCCAGAAGATGTTAAAGGAGCTTTATAATAAATGATTGATAAACTTAAATGGATGAATAAATTTAAGATTGCTATATTAATAACTGATTGTCCTTGTCATGGCAAGAGATATCATAATATGGTAAATGATTGTCATCCTTAAGATGATATTGAAGAAATGCTTTATCGTTTGATAGATTAATAGATTGTTTTAATAGGTTTCAATTTAAACTAAAAAACTATCTAAATGTATGAAGAATTTAAAAAAATTTATGAAAAAAAAAACGCTTCAGATTTATTTTTATATGTTGATGTTGCAGGATTATCAGTTAATTAGTTAGCTGAGAAAATGGCTAAATCGTTAGGAAATGCTTCAGTTAATGCTACATAAGTAAAATCATCAGGAACAAAAACTAAAAATCCATAATAATAAAAAGAAAGACCAAAAAACAAAGATGGTGCTATGGAAGCTTTATGTAAATAGGGAGATTTTTATAATTTTGAGAAAACATAAATTCAAGTAGTAGATACTGAGTTTACAGTTTTAAATGTTACTATAAATGACTAAGTATTTGCAGCAAATTTAAAGACTATTAATAACATTGGTAGATAAAAAGATTATGTAATAACTGAAGAAGGAAAATGGTAGTGTATTAGAACTGCAGATCCATTTGCATTTGGTATGATGAAAGATGTCTTTCTGATGAAAAAAAAGAAAGGAGGAGCAGATGAATTATATGTAATCAAAACTCCTTTGGGTGGTTAACCATATAAAACATAAGAATAGACTGTACAAGAATGTAGATCTCATTTAGTCTGCTAATAATTAATGAAAAAATTTAAATAAGATATCTAAGATGCAAAAGATCAATAGAAAATTTTAGATTTTAAATATCCCAATGTTATTTATAGTGACTTTTTGATTTTAAAGGAAAAATAAGGTAAAATTTCATATATTTAATATTTTTAGATCGATATTGGATTGCTGAAAGATTTTTCAAGGGTGAATTTGTTAAGTATAATAATAATTATGGCTATATCAATGATGACATTACAGAAATTAATAAATTTGCTTAAGCTTTTTCATACTATACATTCTATATTAGTGGTGGAAATTATATGGTCAATGATGTTTAAGGAGTTGGTCATTATTTCACTGATCCTGCTATTAATACAGTTAGAGGTAAATCATATTAATATCCTAAGGGGATTTCGATGAAACTGATATAGGGGAAGAAGGTATAAAAATGTTTTTAGTAAATTTCCAATCCAAGAAAAGTCTTCCATTTGAAATATTGTAGCTTCTTAATATAACGGAAGAGTGAATTGAATAATAAATTGAGAAAGTTTATATATAAATTATTGTTGAATTTGTAAATCAAATACATTATTTTCATGTTAAAAATAATAAAATAAAATAAAAATGAAGAACTTCTTTTTAAATAAATATTATGTGGATAGTAATCGAATTAAAATATAATGAAACAAAATAATAAGAGACTCTGAACTGTAAAAGATTATTGTAATCATATATATAGATTCTATTAATTACAAATATCTTAATTTAATATGATTGAAAGCCAATTTTAAAAATGCAGAATCAAAAGAGAGTAAGGGTAATTAAAATAAATAGTAAAAAACTAAATCTTGTAACAAAAAATTAAATTTGAGAGAGAAATTATTCAGCAATTTTCAAATAAATTATTATCAAAGTCAATACTTTATTTTTTATCGTTTTTCTTAACTTATTTATAATTTTAAACAACTTTAACTTTTGTTTATTATTGATCATCCGAATTTTCGTCTGAATCATATCCAGTTTTTATGACTTTATTGACTTTCTTTATTTATAAGTTTTATTTTTATTAAATTGTTTATTACTATTATTTTTGATTTTGCGAAATTGTTTGTTATTATTATTATTATTAATATTATTGTTATTTATTTTATTTAGCTTACTTCTATTTTTCTATTTCATTTTATTTTTATTATTAAGTATTCTAAGCTTATTTATCTTATTTTGTTTTATCTAGGTTTTATTATTGTTGATTCTATATTTAATCTTCATTAAATTGATTAATTTTTGGCATTTTTTTAGTTCCAAAATTATTATCTTCTTCAAGATCTTATTTTTATTAAGGTAAGACTTTTGTTTATTAGTTTTCCTGTTGTTTTTATTATATTTAAGATTAAGATTAAGATTAAGGTTAATGATATTACTTTTCTTTTTTTGATCCTTCTTTTTATTATTATCCAATATTGAGTTCATGATTTTAGAGATTTTCTTATTATTCTTTGTTTTTATCTTTGTTTTGATTGATTTATTCTTTTGTTTCTTTTTTTCCTTTTCCTTCAATTAATTCTTGATTATCTTTAAAACAAGATGATTCATGTTATTTTATTTCTTCTTATATTTAATTTTTTTAATCTTTATTAGTTTAATTTTCTTTAGATTCTTTAAACTCCTTAATTTTAATATCTTTATTTTCCTTGATATCTTTAGTATTTTCATTTAATAAAATTTCTTAAGTGTTTACATTTTATTACTTCATTTTTTCTTCTTCTATTGCTTATTTATTTTTATCTTATTATATTTACTATTTTTTTGTCAATTATTCTTTTTCTTTTGGTTATTAATATGATTATTTATGATTTTAATTGTTTAATAATTGTTTATTTGTTTATTTATCTTCTTGCTATTAAGGAAGTGTTCTAGGAGGAGAAATGTCTGGTAAATTTTCGATTAATTTATTTTATTCTTTTAAATGCTTATTCTTTCTTTTAGAACCTTCAGTTAATTCAATTTTAACTTATGATTTTTTTTTTGGTTCTATAATTTCACATGTTATAAAGGTTTAATCATCAAGCACATGTCCAATTTACATTTATTTTGGAATCACAACCAAATAGCCATTTTATTTAATATTTTTTACTTAGAATTACTATATCTCTTCATTATCAGGATCTTCTCTTTAAGTGTATACAAAGGAATTTGCAATTTAAACTTTTAGATTCTAATGAATAAAATAGTTAAATACTTATTAAGTACGATCTACGGTAGCAATGAATTATTTATTTCCTGTATTCACAAAAAGACGAATGTATTGTCTTTATGGTGCTTCAACAGGTTTATTTAAAAATAAATCCATAAATAAAAATCAATAATTTTATTTTTATAAAAATTTTTGTATACATTCTTCAATTGTTGAATACTATAAGTAACGTTAATTTTAAAAGTGAAACTTATGATTTTGTAACCAATTTACTTATTTTTCACATTTAATTAGATAGTCTGTCAGAAAGATAAGTTCTTTATCTTGTTTATTTTCTTTAAATGGAATGATTGGAATTCCATTATCTAATTAATAAATGTAACAACACGCACAATTATCAATTATAGCCATATTCTAATGATCGTAATGTAATTTACTTCTAATTTTCGACCTTCAATCGCTCTAAGATCTTTAACAAATATTCCTTCTTCTAATTCTAAACAACTTTCTCTATAAAATCTATATGAAAAAAGTGTTTATTTTGGATCAATATACTCTAAAATCTTATCAGCATACTCTTTGTATGAAGCTGTAAATAATATCAGTTCATAAAATTATGATAAAACTTTTAACATTTATTAACAATGTGGTCTTATATTAAAACAAATCTAATTAAATTTACATTTCTATACTTCTATTTCTGGTTCATTTGGAACTTTAATTATTGTTTTATACTCTGCTGGATTATTATTATTATTATCATAGCAATGAATTAATGTTTCATCTAGATCAAAAACTAAAGTCTTAACATCATCCGTTGAAAAATTAGGTTTTTTTGGAGGATTCAACAATAATTTAGTATTATTAAATGGTTTTATTGAATTCATTTGAGAACAATATTTTAAAGATTCATATGTAAGATAAAAGTGTTCGCAGAATTTAGTTTTAAAATAATCTTTTTGATCTTGGAATTCTATTTTAAATTAAACTTAATAGGGGGAAGTATTTGGAAAAAACTCTTATCTCAAAAAATGTATAACAGAAGTCTAATAATATTTTGCCTCTTTAAAAATAGGTCTAATCACAGTCTAATATAATATTAAGATTACTAAAAGTGCTTAAATATTTCCATTTAGAGTATCATTCTAATTATTAGACGGTGAATGACCTCGTGTTGTATTATTAGTCTTAGAAATCTTACTTGATGGAGAAAATGATTATCTTGATGGAATTTGTCTTGTTGACATTATTTGTGGATATTTTTCAATTTATGATTAGTTGTTTATTTAGTTTACTTTTTTTAATGGCATTTTTTTAATAATTTTGTATTTTTCTTTTTAATTTTCATTTTGTTAAGTCTTTACTCTCTAATCTAATTTATTAACTTCAAAAAGTCTTAAGTTATTTTTTGATTTTTCTTAACCCAACTTTTATTACATATTTTTAATTTGATATTTAATAGTCTACCTCTAAGGACATTACATTATCGGCTGAGATTACTTCTTATTAGGAGTTATTTCTTTTGTAGATTTTAATTATGATGATGTTCTATTTTTATATTAATTAAATTCAGTCACTATGGAGTAACTTTTTTATGTTCTATTATTATTTGGAACTTGAGATTTCCTAATCATTTCAGGAGTTCTAGCTTTGATATCAATTCTGTTCAGGATGTAATAAATAAGAATTACTATGCTTAATTGTTTTCAGCAGAATGACCACGATACACTTTTTTAGAGCACTCTTCTTATTTTGGCTATTGTTACTAAGGCATCCTTGCCTTACCGACTTAATTTGGAATAGACCTTTATGTATTTTATTTCATAATTTTTTAATTTTATTATGTCTAATTGATTTAACTCTTTCATTGGTTCTATTGATAAACTTGGCTTTCTCAAGGATTCCCTAACCACTCTTTCTTTTTTATTCCATTTATGATTCAAGTTTTTCTTTTGTCGTATATTACTTCCAATCTAATTTCGATTTAGTCACAGAATTAATGGTCTTTGCTTTATTGGTCAATTTCTTAATAACTTCTCTGTAATATCGAAAGCTCTCTCTCAACTCTCTCATAGACAAAGCTAATATAAGATTATTGATTACAATTTCCAGTAGGTTATTTAACTTATTTAGATTATGCAGGTTCTATGTTTTCTTCTTATATTTCCCCTTTATCATTAATTAAAAATGATTTTCCGGCAAATTTGACTCGTTTCACTTAAACACGATTCTGTTCTTTGGATACAATAATTGATTACCATCAAGTACTTCCTTTACAATTTACTATGGAGTCTTGGTACAAATCTTAGGTTGATAAAGATCAATTTTTTTCATTTCTTAGTAGATCTCATCAATATTTAATATTTTAGGATGATTTGTATTTTTGTTATGATTGGAATCATCTGATTCTTCAGGGACATATTCTACATCATCATCACTTTCAATATCTATGCCGTAAAGTTTAATTTTTTTGGACATATAAAAATTATACTCTAGAGATAATTTTTGATAAGAATTTAATAATAGTACTAAGAATAAGTTTAGAATGGTATTGAATAGGTTTTCATTAATCGTGCAGTTCCTAATGATATGATAATAAATTAAAACTAAAAATATAAATAACTATGATAGTATTCTTATTGCTGATAGGAGTTTAAGCTTAATATTTGGCTAAAAATAGAACTTGCCAAAAAAGAATGTTTAGATATATGTAAAGTTCTATCATTTTGTATTCCTTTATAAAAAGGATGTAGAAGTTATTGTAATCCACTAAATCAAATTTGCATAATGTTTCCAATATTTACAAAAAACTAATTTATAGGTAATCTAAAGAATATTTTAATCGAGCTGATTGTCATTACATTAAATTTTAAGATTATTTTGTCTTATGTGTCTAATTGTAGATTATTTTTCATAATTTTCAAATGCCCATTCTATGTAAAATGCATAATGAAAGATTAATAATGAATTTAATAATAAGAATAGAGTGACTTATTTCAAGTTCCACTCAAGTAGAAGAATATTTATTTTTTTGATACTTGCAATGAAAGATATTATTTGGTTGAAGAAAAATTTTAATAGATATCTAACTAGATTTCTGAAATTTGAAGGCAATTTTGCAGGCTTATATCTTAAAATGAAGCGAATTTTGTTAATTCTATACTTTCTTAAAAAAATTTTCTGAATTAATATGTTTGTTGTTAAAAAGAGTATGCTTAATAGCTGTTTTAATGTCTTGATTGTCAATGACATCAATTCTTAAATTTTCAATGAAAACACATAATCATTTCAGATAAATTTATTATGAATCTAAAATTTTATATAATTCTCCTTACCTGCATAGTTTGTGATGTCAATTATAAATTATATGATTCTTCGGAACTTTTTGTACTGTGCGACAAAAATGGAGTTTGCACATCCAGTACAATTTATAAATATACAATTTAAAATAAAACAACCAATCTTAAATTTAAAAGTTATAATTATATTAAAAATGATCTTTAAGTATGTTGATAATTTTCTGGATATGAATAATCTAATAAATGTGCTATGGCTTATTTTTTTAATTGATTTCTCTCATGTCAATAATATAGTACAATGTAGTTAATATATTAAATTAATCATATTATAATTAAAATCTTAATTATTAAGGATGGCTGATGCATCTTAAATTTATAGTCAAAAAAAGTATTTATATAGGCAGGATGGTTTATTTATTCGATTCAATGACAATGATAAAGAATTGATAATTAGATCTTAAAATGGATAAATTGACGTATAATTAAGGTAAAAATTTTAAGATGTTAATCTATAATAATCAGATTGTTTAGAATTCAATGCAATTTATGGAATAATAACTTTAAGATAATTGAATTATTTAGTTGTCGTAGTAAAAGCTGCATCCATAAGCTCAATTATGAATTTACCAATTCTTTAAGCAGAGAAATTCTAATTCATTCCTATCGAGGATAAAAAGTAATATGAAATTAATAAAATCAAGAATAAACTCTAAAGATGCCTAATATATTGCAGGTCTTCAGGAGATATTTAATACAAAAACATTTTATTATTCTGATTAATACGATCTTACAAATTCTTTGTAGAGATATATAGAAAATAAAGGAGTTCGTAAACCATTATCCTAATTTTGGGTGAACAGTGAGAATTCTAAGCCTTTTCGTCTATGTAATCCAGAATAATGGATACCAATCTTTATTTCTGGATTAATAGCAATTAAATATTTCAAATTAAATGAGATAGATTGTTAAATCTGTTTAATTAGTAGACGAGATAAGAGAAGAATGGGTAGAAGATTCATTAGTAGAGGCGCTGATTTAGATGGTAATTGTAGTAATTTTGCAGAAACAGAATAAATATTTAGATACTAATCAAATTATTTTTCATTTTTATAATCAAGAGGTTCAATGCCTTTTAAATGGATATAAAAACCAGATTTAAAATGGGCACCAAAGGCTAAAATCTTAGGAGATATTACTACTAACACTGAAATAGCTTAAAAACATTTTTCTGATTAATTTTAATTAGGAATTCAAAGACATATTCTTGTTAATTTAATTGATAAAAAAGGTACATAAAATATTTTAGGAAATTATTATAATGAAATTATAAATAGATTAAAAATTGATAATTTGAGGTATATTTGGTTTGATTTTCATCATGAATGTAGAGGAATGAAGTATTAAAATTTATCTAAATTAATAAATATGATGGCTTCTGATTTAAAATTAGAAGATTAATTTAATTTTGATTTAAAATCAGGAACTTCTTAATTAAATATAATTAATGTGATGACTACTTAGAAATGTATTATTAGAACTAATTGTGTCGATTGTTTAGATCGAACAAATGTTGTTTAATCTGTTATTGCTAGACATTAACTTTGGAATATATTATAAAAATTAGGAATAAGAAGAAACACTGTAAAAAATTCAATTTATTTTAGAACTTAGCAATGGAACCATTTCCTGATAAATTAGAATAGATATTTCGAGATATTTGGACATTGAATGCAGATACAATATCATTACTTTATACTGGAACAGGAGCTTTAAAGACAGATTCTACAAAAAAAGGAAAAAGAACAGTGTTGGGAGCTATAGAAGATGGTAGAAGATCTATAATTAGATATTTTATTGGAAACTTTCATGATGGAGGAATTTAAAATAATATTGATGTTTTAACAAATAAAATAGATTTGAAAAAACATCAATTTAACAATAGATTCTTTACTGGATGGCATTGTCTGATTTTGATTGTAAATAATATTTATTAATAAAAGTTTGCATCTGTTTAATTTGGATTATGGAAATTTAGTGGATTAGCTTTGGAAAATCAAAAAATGAATTAATTTTTGGGCATTCAAAAAAAATAAGAGAATAATAATGAATAGCTGAAGATGACAATAGCCCAATTTGTTTTAGTAGCAACTGGAATGTTTATTATTAGAACATTTATCTTAAGTAAATATAAACTGTTTGTCAGAGAAGCTAAGCTAAACCATTGATTGAATACACAATGAAAATTTATAAAATTGATTAAATTCAAGTCATTATTTATTACTATAATGAGATTATCTTTTTAATTAATCTCTATATAATTAAAGTTCTTATTCCTTATGATTTAACAATTAATTTAATCTATTGCATTCATTTTAAAACAAAGAAACCTTGCTTTCTAAATCTTTTAAATTTTAATTAACTTATTACGAATTACTTTACCTTCTTAATATATCAATTTCTTTATTTCTATCATCAATGATTTTTCTTAGACTAAACAAGATTAATATAAAATCATACTTAAAAATTTCTAGTTTTGAAAATTCATTTTCTTAGACTATTTTTTCCATTCTATTTAATTTTTATTAAACAGTATCTAAATCATCTTATTTTAACTTTAAATTAAGTTCAGCTTTTTTTAAATCTGATTATAGATTGACTATAAAATTAATTCTTAATATTACATATATTTTGATCTTTAGTTCTAGATTTGGCCAAAAAGTTTTAAGCTTCATAACTATAGGATTCAAGAGATTGACATCTTCTCTGTGATTCATCCAACTATTCTCTTAGTCTATTCATTTCAACTTAAACAATATTTTCATTATCTTAAACAGCTCTTTTCATTCTTTCAACTTCCATTTCAACATTAAATCTAGTTTTTAATTGATCCTCTAAACTTGAATATCTAAATCTCCATTAATCAATTTCTGAATTCAAATCTAAAATAGTCTTATTAAGCCTATCCACTTCTTATATTAATTGATTTACTCTTCCAGTATCTTCAAAATAACTAATTTTCTCAGATGCAATATTTTATTGTTTCAATCTAAAATTTTCTTATTGCAAATCGTATATTTGTTTTTCTAAGAATGTACATTTATCTAGAATCAAAATTCAATCATACTTCTCCATGGTTCTTCAATATCTATTCGAGGTACAACCTTAACTGGTTTATCATAGTGTTAAATTTCTTAATATATAGTCTAAGGTTAAACAAAATTTTATAAAATTGGAGCACTTTAAGTTGGCTATTAAAATTGTTATTATTTATTCAATGCTTAAACTTCTGGTGATAATTAGAACTTATTTATATTTAAATTTTACTTCTTATGCATAAGCTCTTGCAGGTGCTTATCCAAATTAAATAGGCAATTCTCGCCCTTATTCTAAACTTAAGGGTTTTTAACTATATTAAGTATTAATGTCTTGATTCATCATTTGTGGGTATCTTAATTAATCATATGTAGATCTGCCATTCATCCCATTAATAGGATCTCTATATGATTACATTTTTTATGTTAAATAAATAAAATTTATTATATAATAATGCATTTTGTAAATATATTTTAAAATTAATTGTATTTTATTAACTAATTTTATAAATTTGTAAGTTATATTGTCTTAATTATTTATATAAATTATGGACACTATTAAATAAAAATGGAAAAACTATACCTTATAAAAAAGACTGAAAGATCTTTGGGAGGATTATAAGAAAGTTTCAAATTTATCTGATGACCCTTAAACACTTAAAAAGTAATTTGTAATTTCTTATAAGATTTTAAAACTTTCTTGAATAAGCAAATATAACAATAAAGAATTTTTTAAAAAGCAATGATTAGCATTTAGAATTAATCTTAGTTGATGCCAATTAAGTATTAGTGGTCATTTTAGATTATTTGAATAAATTTCCTGAAATCTAAAAAAGGTTATATATTTTTAAACTAATCTTTAGAAACGCAGACTAAGGACAATTAATTTAAGATATAATGGAATAATGTATTTAATTAGCAGAATAAATTTTGAGAGAACCAAAGTATAGGAAAAGTGTGGAAAATTCACATAATGTCTTGTCTGATTTTTTAAATTTAATAGAAAAAGCATAAAAGACTGAATCAAAAGTTCTAATCATTAAATTAATTGTAATTGTTTTCATCTAACAAAGGTTTTATTTTCAGAGAACTTAAATTAAAGAATTGAATTTTTTGAATAATAAGGATTCCATAAATTACTCTCAATACTAATGAACAAGGATCCATAACTTAATCGAATAATTTCTAAAGCATTATTACATTTTTTACTTATAGAAGATCTAAATTAAGTCGTAATTTGCAATGTAGAAGACAGTCAAGAATAAACTATAAAATAAAAATTTAGTAAAATTGCTGAATCATTAAGATCATTTGCATTTCAAGGTATTGATCAATTATTAATTTTATTATAGAACTCTCTAAAGTTTTTCTTCCATCTTAAAATAATAAATAGTTAAGCATAAAGTAATTTTATGTAGAAAAAAAGGAAATCTAAACTTTATAATAAGCTATCGAATAATCAATAAGTTTATAGTCAATTTTTGAAGTCGATTTAAGTTTTTATATGAACTCTTAATCAATAACTAGATCTACTTCAGATTAGGATTAAAACAAGAATGAATTTTATGAAAAAATTATTAGTATTAGTAACACTCCTCCAGATAAACTGGCATTATCATAAACATAATTAGAAAGTTCCCAATCCGAAGATATACTTAAAGAGTTTTAAGTACTTTAAGGTGGGTTTAAAGCTATCTTGGAAACACTTGAAAAAGCTACTTCTGAAGTTTAAGTTGATCTACTCTAGACTATTTAATAAATATTACAAAATAATGCTAGAAATAAAATAGAATTTAAAAGAGTCAATGGTTATCAATTACTAAATGATTTTATTTGTAATAAGGACTAATAAGATGAATAATTTTAATAACAATTCTATAATTTCTTAAAATAAATATCAACAACTGAAAGTGAAATAGATGATTTAGATGCATTTACTTTAATGCTTGAACTATTACCTATTTAATAAGATAAAATTCTCAATATAATTATTGAAGTTTTAAATTAAAATTGGAAAAATGCGATCATAGCAAAAAGATTAAAATTGTATTATTACTTAGCTATTATATAAATGAGATAATATTTATCATCAGACCAAATTTCTGAGAAATTCTGTAACATTGATAATGAGTACATGTTTTCTAACTTTAAAAACATTTTAGTCAAAGTAAAATTTTCACAGACAGATGAAATATGTTAATAATTATTTTAACTTTATGAATAACTAAATTAATTAGAGGGATTTTACAGTCTTGAATTCGAAGCAATCTAAAGTTAATTAGCCATATTATTTATTGATGATGTTGATAAATTTAAGTAAATAGTTGCTTTTGCTTTCAAAATGATAGAAATGAAAATGAGTAAGAAATGTAGATACATGAATTCCTTTGATCATTAAAGTGAATTGGCATTTCGAAATTTTAGCATCATTTTTGAATAAATATATCATACCTTTTAAATGGCTAAAAAAAATAATATTTAAGATGCAAAAGATTAATCTAATTATGTTTTTTTTATATAAATTATAGAAATTATCAATTCATTTTTAGTGTGTGATCACAATATATAAAAACAAGAAGTAGATATATTTAAAAATATGGTTAGTTAAAATAGATGCGAATAGTTTATGAATTTAATTAAACCATATCTTAAATTAATTTCAAGTAAGTAGATTTTAGAACTATTTGATTTTGAATATAATGAAAATAGTAATTTAGCTATTGCTCATTTATAATTTCGCTTGAATTAAGTGTTGTTTAATTCACTAGCAGGAATAATGAGACATAATGATTTAAAAATAGAACCTTAAATGGTTTTATACTTAATCTATTCTTAATATGAAATGTGGAATTCTTTAGAATAGCAACCACAAAACCCCATAACCCCTTTATTAGAATTTCTAATAGATATTTCGAAATTAAATTCTTAATACTTATAATGTATCTCTCACTTTTTTTACAAAATCAAATTGCATGATGAAAATTCTCTTGTGATTGAAAATCTCATATAATTTTTAAAGTAATAAGATTTCAAAAATTAAGATTTAGTTGTAAATATGCTTATTTCAATCTGCAAGAATTTACCATCGTATAATGATATGGTTAATCTATATCCTGTATTAATACAATTTATAGAAATGTATTTGAACAAAGTTGATTTGGAGTTGTGGCTTGATTTTTTATTTTCAGGAGAAATAATCAAAAAATTAAATGAACAAAATTATGGAGCTGCTATGAGTGATATTTTAAGCTTATTATCTATTCACAGTATGTTTTAAGATAAAGTATTTGATAAGATGATAAATGGAGAATATTTAACAAACTCTTTTGCTACTCTATAATACGAAACAACCAAAGAATAAAGTATTAAATTATCAAATATATTGTATTTATTGAATGCCAAAAGTAATAAGATCAAAGTATTTATTTTTATATATTTTTTTTTAGAATCCTATTTATAGCAATAAATAGAAATTTTTTTAATTGATCTAAAAGCTATTTAATGGAGAGGAATTTTCAAATTAATTATGTAATACTATTTATAAACTTGTGTTTTGGAATTTTGATAGTTATCATCTACTTTATACAGAGAATAGCAGCAATGTTTCTTCAGTTATGGGAAGAAGTGAATTTGCTGAAATAATTTAAAAAACCTAAAAATAATATTTAGAAAATAAATAGCCAATATAACGTATAACAAATTTGGAATCTTTAGAACTTTTCTTTTTGATGTTGGTTAAAAACAAATCTCAAAATTATGTAATAGAAATTTTAAAGATATTTGAATCAATTTTAGATAATTAAAATTTAGCAACATTATTAGATTCAAATATAATATAAAGTTTATGTTTGCTATTATAAAATTCTGATAAAAGAATAGAATAATAAATTTATAAAATTATAAGAACAATTATTTAATATGATTTAAGTAAGTCTAACAAATTGAAGATAATCGACATGTTAAAGAGACATGATGATGCATCTCATATTTTGATTGATTATTTAAAGGATTTACTATAGAATCCAGTAATTAAGAATGATCATATGATCTTTTTGAAAAATTTTGACTTTTTAGTAAAAAATTTTGAAGAGTTAGTTGGTTTTAATGAAGAAATAGATATTTTATTATTTCAAATAATCAATTTGATGGCATCTAAAAATTCACCAGATATAAGATCAGTATTAAAGTAGTTGAATCTATTTGAATTTAGAGATAATTTGGCATTACAAATTATCAAATATAAAATGAAACCATAATAGTTGATGGATATTTTATCTGGAATTCCCTTTGCTTAATTATGCAATAGTAGAAACTTTAAAGAATCACATTGTATGGCGTATTTATTGTAAAGGTTGATTCAACACAAAGATCATTTTGGTTTACCCCTTTTGATTATAAAGATTTTAAAATATGATATATCATCGATAGAAGATAATAGAAAGTATGTAGGTAAGCTTTTACAAAATGAATAATTGATAAATTTTTTTTATCCATAAATGTTAAGAAAATCAAGTAAAAGTTTAAAATGTTTTGATTAAGAAGATTAAAAAAATTAAAGTTAAAGTTCATCAGAAACAGATGCAGCTTTTTCGTAGAATATGACTGTGGATCAATTTTTAACACTATTTTTTAGTGATAAATTGTAGGATGAAAGATAACAAATAAAATTGAGTTTAGAGAGAGCACTAATCCCTGTAGAAAGTGAATACAAGAGATAAATAATGAGATATAATATGAAAAAATAAAATCGATTATCAAAATTATCAGAGCAAGAAGAATGTGATAATTAAAGAGTAAGATTTATAAAATATATATAGATTTAAACTTCAAATAATGATTGGGAATTTAAGATACAATCTCGTTTGAAAAAGAGCAATGAGCGATCTAAATAGAGAAATTAAAAATAATAGGAATTATTTGAATAGTCATTGGCTGATGGAGAGAATTAATGGTTTAAATTGTGTTTAGGATAATGAAATTTATATATATAATATTAAAGTATGTTTGTATAGGACATGCAATTTATAAGACAAAGTGATCAAAACTTTGTAATAAATACTTAATCGTTTCAAACAATTGTATTTTAGTATGATCGATAAAATCAAATGCAATTACAAGAGAAATAGCTTTACGATAGTTTAAAAAATAGAGTTCTGAAATTAGGACAGACAATAATGATAGGTGGTAATCCTTTTAAGGTTTTTTTATTGAATCCACTTAATGGTCATGTTGGAGATACTACTTCAATACTATGTTATCCAGGAGATTTGAGCAATAATAAAACTTTATAATAAGTTTAATTTCTTAATCTATCGGAAGAGAAGAAAGAACATATAACCAGACTTCCAATTAACTAACATATAAGTTAAGATTAATAATTGATTATTGATGGATTACTTATGCAAGTTATTCGATGTTAACCTGAAGATGGAATATTTAGATAATAAACTGTAATTTATTATGCTATTAGAATAGGAATGTAGAGTAGTTAACTCTGGAAAACCAACAATATAGGAAATTCAGATAATAATATAAAATTAGTAGGAACCAAATAAATAAGAATTAATGAAAAATTACATATAACCTCATTTTATGATTCCAAGATATGTTAGAGAAGGATCTAGATTAAAGATAAAAGAAGTAGATTTTATAATTAAATCATGTAAACCTAGAAAAGGATTTATTGATAACAGGACATTAATTTAATTGTTTGATAATGAACAATTTACATTTAAATCAATGAATGATGAGGATGAAGAAACAGGAGGACTTTAAGTATAGATTAATACACTTAAAATCTTATAAGATAAAACAGCATCTAGAAATTAATTTGTTTAGAAAAGAAAAAAGTTATATAGCATGATGGAAAACTATTGTTAATATGATGAAAAAGAAAATTAGATTGTTCTTTCTTCCAGAGATATAAGCAGTCGAAGTTAATCTATAAATGATTTTCCAATATTTCCAAATACATTCCTTTCTTAATTGCATAAAGAAATTGATGAAGTCTCTCATGATTTAGAAAGTGATCTTATGGATAGTGATGAAACTCATTAAGGTATAGGACTTCATGAATAGAATCAAAAATTGTCATAGATGACTTTACCTGTATTCTTTAAAAATATGTTAATTTCTAATAAACATGGAGCTAATAGATAATCTAGACTTTAATAACCTGAATAGCCTTATTCTGATGATTCTTCTTTGGATCGATCTATTGATTCAGATATAAATAATGCATAAATATTATAAAGTGAAACTTCACTTCTTATTCATGAAGATTAACCTCATTTAACTGCTCTTCCTAGATATTTTGATGAAATTGTTTTAGTATATATTAAATCTTATCATTATTTAGTTTAATTCATAAAGATGGTTACCTATAATTCATGATGGAGTTTCCTAAAATATAATAAATAAATTTCCAGAAAGAAAAATAGATCTTAAATGGATTTAAAATAAAGGTAAAAATGAAAATGCCGATTTTTGTAAATGTATGATTTGCTTAATGGATTACTCTGATGAAGAAATAGTTAGAACTTTACCTTGTCGTAATTATTTTCATTTATTTACTTTTAGTACATTATTTTCATTGTGAGTGTATAGATTTCTGGTTAGCAAAAAGTCGTAAATGCCCAATTTGTAAAACTGGATGTGACTAATATCTGAACTATTGATTTATTTAAATTATTAACGAAATGATTAAAACTGCATATAAAAAACAGCCACTCATTCCTAAATTATCTAATCTAACTTCTGCTATTGAAATATAATAACCGTTGTCTTGTAGATAATAAAAATAGACATATGTTTCTTTTATTTAACCATCTATTAAAACTACAAGACTTAAAGAAAATAATTATAAATATACCAAAACTCCAACAAAATCAGATCATACTAATTTAAATGTTAGTAAACATAGTAGATCACCCAACGGTTCTCAAATATAATCTAGTCAAACAATTTTAAATGTTTTAAATCAAAATATAAAATTAAGATAATAACAATAATCATATTAATGTTCAAACTATAAATCAAATAATGTTACTCCATAAAAGTAAATTTAGTAGGAAGAACAGAATAAAATTGATAAAATCTAAACTTAAGAATTGTACTAATAAATAATCAAATAAAGACAATAAAGTATTCGAAATATTTAATAAACTATTAATTGCATTAATCATGTAGATAAAAAAGCAAAATTTTTCAAGCTAAATGAAAAACAAGAAAAATAATATTTCTGTTCTCTTTGTGCTATTTAAGAAGCTTATGAAGGATTAATATATGATATGAAAACTAATTAACTGATTCCTAAAAAACACAATTAAAATAGTTGGATTTTGAAATATGATGAGCCAACTACTTAGGAATAGAATAAGAAAATATAATAATTAAATGAATTTTTAGAATTAGCTAGATAATTATATGACTCTGCAAAAATTAAAAAAGAGATCTCTTTAAAATACAATGTCCACGAAATGCTTGCTGAAATTGAAAGTATTAGTTAGGATATAATGAACAATGCTTAAAATATCATACAAAATGTCGAATCAAAATCATTCCAGATGATACTTTAAAATTATGTTAATAGATTGTAATAATTTGATATAATAATTAACAAACAAAATATTGTTAACAAATTACCTTTGAAAAAGTAAGTTTTAATAAGTTTTTAAAATAAAGATAGTTTTGTTAATCCTGATTAAATGGAGTTTACAGATTCGCTTATGTTAAGAGAATCAGAAACATAACATTTTTTGGATGATTGTAATGATGTTACTTTATATTCACCAAATTTCTGAAATAATTTTATGTGTAATTCATTTTTAATGCTATCTAAATAAAATTCTATCCAATTTAATTTTTCTTTAATAATTAGTTTAAATTACGATCTTAATTAGAGGACTTTAATCCAAAAATATATGCCAGATATATAAAGAAGAAATCATAAAGCATTTATATAATTTGATTTTTTTTAATTAAAACATCAGTTATATTTCATATTATAAATTATGATTATAATTCTTGTCATAAAAATGATAATAAAGCCTACAATCAATTATTATTTTAAAAATAATACTTTTTAATGAAGAGCAGAAGTTTATAATACCTATTTTCATTTAATCTATAATATTGAGAAGGAAAATTTTATAATTATATTATAAACAATAATATGGCAAAAAGAGCACATGTTTTAAAATAAGATATTAGTTATTGACATGAAACAGATTTTCCATTAATTTGTATTTTGTGTTTAGGTAAAAATCTTTCTTAGTAGCTTAAATGATTTAATAAAAAATAAAGTTGAAAAATTGATTTGGAAATTAGTATCAAATTTTCGCTAGGGTTTTTATAATATTTTAAAATGTTAACCAAGGACATAATCAAGATAGAAATTGTCTAAAATATATGATAGGCTAGCAGAAAATATAAAAAAAAATCTTCCAGGCAGTTTAAGATTTAATCTCAAAGATTTGATTATTTACAATTGACCATTTTTAGGAGATTAAAAGATTGAGATTCCAGAATATAAGCAAATAAAGATTATTGGGCTAGATAAATAGAGAGATTATTTTGCTAGATGATAACTATTAAATTAAATTTTGAAAGAACCTACTTTTGCAGAGGTAAATTAGTAATTGAACAATGAATAGGATAATGAGGCTAATACCGAACTAATAGAAAATCCTTTAGATGTTAATAATTGATAAATAATGAAGGGATATGTATTTTCTAAGTTTGGAAAGGTTAATTCAATCAAGATTATGAAATATGGTAAAAACTGCTTTATTCATTTTGGAAAAAAGAAAAAACACTGAAAATGCACTCAACAGTCTTTACAATAATATCATTATTAAGAATTTTAATTAAATTATTTGTAAAATAACATTTACAAGAGCTTTCTAATAAAAATATCAACTTTAAGTATCAAATAGTTAATTTATGAGATTTAATCCAAGAGTTGTAACCTGAAATAAATAACAAAGTCTATCCTTTAAAATGGCATAAAAAAATATTAAATATAAGTAATAATTAAAAGATAAATGTTTATGCCTCTCTAAAATCAGTTTGTGTTAGTTTACTGGATTCCTAGATGAATTATCTTAATTTAAATTCATATTAGATAGAATGTGTAAATATTAAAGATTTATGATTATTATATATGAACATGTAATTTGAGTAACAAAGAGTGGCTTCTGTTGTAAAAAGGAATTTACAGAAATTTAAAATACTAGTTGGTAATAAGGAAAAGAAATTTAATGATCTCTTAACTCCATTTACAAAACTTGATACCTTTATTGATGCTAAATCTATACTTAAATAAATAGTTAAGCCATCTAATAAATTATTGGATTCATTAACAACTAATGAAATAAAAAGGTAATAATAATAAAGAAGTACTTTTGTTAATGGAGATTATAATTCTGATAATTTTTATGAAAGTGTCGATTTATTGATCAATCATTTAGAAAAAGAATAATCAGAAATGATAACTATTGGAACTAAGAAAATAACTTAAAGTGAAATTCTTGAATTCAAAACAAAACATCCAAATTATGAATTAGTTAGCAAACAATTTGCTGAGCAATCTAAGAAATTGATTGCTAATTTGAATAGACAATCAACCAAAATTTTTAATAAGAAATATTCTTTGATACATCTTTCTCCTAGATAATCAATTAGTAATCATATTATTTCTTTAACATCTGAAAGAGATCCTTCATAATCAAAATATATTCATTCTAAACAACTTTAAATGTTAGAGTTAAAAACTTAAAAATCTTCATTAAAAATAAAAACAGAACCAAAATCTCAAAGAAACTATAATTAAAAAATTTAATAGCTAATCAATGATATAGAAGGTGTACACAAATAGATGACTGATGAAACAGGTTAATTACATAAAAAGACCAGTAGATTTATTTTAAACTAATCTAGAAGTAATTCTAAAATTGCTTAATTCGACTATCTTGCTTCTGATAATAATTTTGCATTTACAAAAATTAAGAAAAGAATAATTTGATTTATAATTCAACATTATATTATTTTTTATAATCTATTAAGTTCTAAAAAGTCTTTTTATATTTAATTATAAATATATTTAATTTATTAAGCTACTTTTACATATAGAAACTTTTTAAAAAAAAGATTTCAGTACTTTTGAAATCTCAAGTTTTAGGTACAAAAAATGCCAAATAATAAATCTTTGCTTAAGCTTAAATAATTAAAAATCATTTTAATTTAAACTTGATTAAATTTTTAGAGTCATTAATATCAAAGTTTTTAATAAAAAGTTTCGAATTGAAATTAAGTTATTATAAATCTACAAAGAATAGTAAAATAGCATATTAAATGAATTGAAAAAAGGTTAAAGTTGTAAATAACTATGTTTCTAATACAATAGCTATTAAATTTAATAATAAATCTTTAATAGTAATGGTTTTTTTGAATATTTAAAATATTTTCAAATTAATAAAATTTAAAATTCCAGTTGTTAGAGACATAATTTTCTAATTTTTAATCAAATATATTATTGCCACTATATTTTTAATCACTTTGACCACTTCATAATTTGCTATGTTAAATTCAAATTAAGCATTTTCAACTTGTAAATCTTTCTTATTTTAATTCTTATTTAACTATCAAATCTGAAAAGCTTTAATGGAATTCTATTTATTAAAAATAATCTTATTTTCTGTTCTTTATAATAAATTATTGTCCATTTATAATGGATCCTCTACTTTTTAATAAGGCATTTTATTTATTAAAATCCTTATTATGATCCTAGTTTCTTTGATTTTTTCTTTTTCAAACTAAATTATTTAACAAAAATTGATTATAAAGACTTTAGGGTCTCTATAATTTCTGATATATTTTGATAAGTTTTTTGGTTATTTATTCTGATACCATTTCTACAATTACCTTCCCAGTGACAGTAGGATTATTATTATTTTTTTTATCTACTCTTTATATTCTTTTAGTTACTTTTCTTGTCAAATCTATAGGTAAAAAATAAGTAAAAGCTACATTTTATAGGTATTGTCTATTTATTAATTTTGTGAGTTGAGTAGCAAAACTTTTGATTTCAAAAATTTGTAAAAGCACATGCCTAAATAAAATATTAATAATCATTTCTATAAAATTTGAAAAAATAAGCACAATAAAGTTTATATGAAGGTATCAGTGAATAATTTTATTAATAAATTAAATAATATATACAATTGAATTTAGATATTATAATAAATAATAAAGAATGTTGTCATTTATAATGATTAACTTAATTATAACAAATTCAAAGGCATAGACTGGGGCAATCAATCCTACTTTATAAATTTAATACTTTGAATATTTAAATTCAGATTGGAATAATTCATTGTATTTTACAATTGAGTCAAAATATGTTCCAGCTTCAATACTATACTAAAACAAGACATCAAGCACTAGTAATACCCAATAAATTTTCTGCTTACAAAACAATAGGATATTAGATTCTAGTACATCATATATATTTTTAACTTATTTGAGAATTGACAATACATCAAAAACATTAACTCATTTTTTTGAATTTTAAACATAATAACAAAAATACACAGAGAAAATTGTTCTTTAGAATTTAAATTATGAAGGTTTTTGGTTTTGTTTAGAAATAAGAAATGATGCAAAATAGTAGCAATTAAATATCACTTTTTATTAAAACCTCAATAGAAATATTTTATATTAAAAGATTTTAAAAAATGAGTATTTTCCTATACAAGATTACTTTTCTTATTATCTTGGTGACTCTAAAATTGTAATTATGTTTTAATTAATAAATATAGTCAAGTAATCTTGGGTATAATCAATTTTAAGGACCAATAAAATGTCAATTGCTTTCATCAACTTCGAGATTTGCACCTTTAGTTTAGCCATCTTGTAGTTCTACATCAGGATTAGGGTTAAGAAGTACTTTCAACTATTCTTCAACAAATAGTTTAGATTTTACAATCAGAGATTTAATTTCAAAATCATATGGATGGACAGCATGGATAAAAATTGAATAAAATAAAAATTTAGCCATTAATTATGTTAATGTATTACACATCTAATAAAATACGATCTACAATTATTAAACATAAGTTGGAGGCAGATTAGGTTAAGTATCTTATTCGATTACTCCTACATAATAGATAGTAGAATTAATTTACACAACCTTTACATTTCCAATTATTCCTCCTCTTGTAAATAATTTAGATCCTTTAGAGAAAATAATTACTTATGAAATACCTATTTAATATTCTCTATATAATTGGCATTACTTTTCATATTCATATAGAAGTAACTCAATATATATCAACATAAATATGGTATAACAAAATTATTAATTTGCAAAGACTTTGAATAATATTTACTAGTTTTCTGATTTAATTTTAGTAATACATATAGGTGGAACATCATATAATAAAAGTAATAATAATGGTTAATATAATTTACCTTTTTTTTATACTTGCCTAACTGTATATACTCCAAAGTGTTATTTTACCTGCTCAACTTGTTTTGGACCAAATCAAAATTAATGTTTAACTTGTTCCTCCGCATCTAATAGAGATTTAACAAAAGATAATAATTGTGTTTGTAAATCAGGTTATTTAGATACCAATGTTTAATCATGTTTTAGTTATAAAATATCATCAACATCTGAAATATTAATACCTCTTACAAATAAAAAGGGTTATGATTAAGAAGAACCAATTATAGTATGTTCCTATGGATATTTTAAATACGATAATTAATGCTTTGAATGGTATTAAAAATAATATATTATTAAGTCCAAAATTAAATAGTAGGTATTTTTGTCCTGAATGTATCTAATATACAAATACATGGGCTTAAGATCCAAAATGTACAAAAAGATATTCCTAATTTAATTAAAATGAGAATAACACATTTATTCAAGATATAGTAGCAGGTGCTGTTATGATGCGTTAGGAATTAGATCCATATGATATTTACCTATTTAGTGATAATGAATTAAAATTTTGCACTTATTGTAGTTCATTATGTTTAACTCTTCCTTATAGTTAATAGTGCCGTGAAAGTTCTTATTATCATTTAAATTAACCTGTTAAAGTTATATGCATATTTGGAGCATAATTAATAAACGGAGAATGTAAAATTTGTGGCTCTAATTGCACAAAATGCAATCTTATTAATAATGAATTTGTATGTATCATTCTTGATTAAGTTATATATTAAAATTAAGCTTGTAATTAAAACTCAAATATTAACTGCACAGGTTGTTAAGATAATAGTCTCTATTTTTATAACTATGAACAAACTGATTGTTACATCTGTTCTATACCAAATTGCAAATATTGTTTCTAATATTTAAGATCCAATCCTCAATATAATTCAATATTTAAATATCAAAAAACCACTTATTTACAAGAAGACCTAGAAGTTGGATGTGCTCTTTGCTATGATGGATTTATATTTAATTTTTTCACTGGCTAATGCGAAAAAAATACAAATTAATTAGGTACTTCTTGTTCTTCATATTATGTTACTAAATAAAATACTCCTGTTTGTATTACTGATACTAATTTTTCTTTAGGAGTTTCAATTGAGGATTGTAAAAATTACTTATAGAATTGTATTAAATGTATCAAAATTACAACCAATTAATATTATTGTTTGGATTGCTTAAATGGATATTATTTACAGAGAAATTATGGCACTTGTTTATCCTGTATTGATTATAATCCTACCTTTAGTGAATGCTATTCAGTTTAATTATATGATTAAAATTTTAAATATCAGATCACTCCTCTATTATTTAGTCTAAATAAATAATATCCAGGTAATTAACAAACTGAAAGTCTTTCAATTTATGTTAGCAAATGCATTCCAGGCTATGATAAAATAACCAATCAAAATTGTAATTTGTTTGATCCTGTGTACTGTAGTGCTTATTCTTAAGGTTGTCGAACTTGCAAATCTACTTTAGAAGGAACTAAAAGACTTACAATTATAAATTTAAAATGTTCTGATTGTCCATATTATTGTGAATATTGCAAACCTAGAAGCGAACTTGAAATCCAATAATTGAATCCATACTTAAATTTAAATAATATCTAACCCTATCTAATTTATAGATGTATCCAAAAATCAAGTACATTAAATTATTTATTTTTTGATAATGAAAAATAACTATCTAGATTATGTTCTTAAGATACTCCAAAATGCTTATTATAGATGATCTATGTATTACTTCTAATTATTTTCCATAGAATTTAACCAGTTTCAGCATATTATAAAGTGCAATAAATGGATTCTATTCAAATTAAATTTTTTATTACAATCTTAGAAGCCCAACCTATATTACCTTTTTTATTAATTCCAGCTCAACTTTTATATAATAGAATTCTTTTTTATCATTATTGAACCTATACAACATTTTCATTTAATCAATAGCAAGTCTAAAATCTACTTCATTTATATATTACTCTTAAGAAATTTCAATAGCATTTATATTTGCATCAATCAAATTCATAAATTTCTAAGAAATTTACTTTAATTAAACAAGCTTTTTATTTAGTTAAACTTAATAATCAGTTTTTATTATTGAATCATTATAAGAAGTTAAATTTACTTTTGAAAATGTTATTATTTCTGACTCGTTAATAATACCCTCCAATTACCTGTATTTATATGATTCTCAAAACACTGTAAGATCCTATTAAATAGCTATTTAAAATCCAAATTAAGTTAATTTAACTAATGTTATTATTTAAAATATTTCATTAATAAATGTTGATTTTTTTAATTTTACATCAGTTGTTGATAAAATAAAAAATTTAAACTTTTTACATTTTAAAAATGTAACTTTTTTGAATTGCACATTCACATCAACAAATTTAATAAGTCTAGGCGAAAAAAATAAATATAGTACTATCTAATTTATAGGTCTTAGATTTATTAATTGTATATTTCTAAACAGTTCATTTATTAATAGTATCGGTTTAACTTTACCTGGAATTATTTTGCTATAAGATTTTATCATCTAAAATTGTACTATGATAAATTCCATTTATGTCCAGGCTCCAAATTGCAAAACTATCTTGGTAATGAATTTTTCAATTAATAATTGCTCTTTTCAGGATAGTGATTTTATTAGATTTGGTTCATCTTCAACAATTTAAAACCTAGAACTTTTTAATTGTTTGATGAAGAATTTTATTCTGATTCATAAAATAAAAACAATATAATCTGTTATTTCTGGTACTTAAGAGGGATACATCTTTTAAAAATTCAAAATTTATGATTCTCTATATTAATAAAGTGTTTTAGTAGAAATCCCATAATATGGTCTTGAAGAAATAAGTTTATCTTTAATTGGCATCTAATTATATTAATTAAAGTCACTAGATCCCGTAGGAGATCGAAAATATTATTTGTTTGCAATATCGGCAACATTTTTTAATGCATTTGATATTACATTAATTAGATCTCCTGGTTGTAAAGAATTTTCAATTGTAAAAGCATATACTGTTATTATTTCTAATTTAAATATAACCTCCTCTCTTAAATAGTAACCTTTTTATTTTGGTAAACTTAAAGAGGAATCTCTAAATTAAGTTTTATATGTTGAAGCATAGATAATTGAGTTGAGTGATATTTTTATATATAACTAATTAGGTGTTGATGTTAAATTTTTAGATCTAAACTTAATTTAAATATTTTCAAATCAATAGGGAAATTTAAAATTAGATAATTTCTTATTTACAAACTTACAATTGATTAAAACTATATTTTCAGATATATCAACTGTTTTGTTTATTTCTAGTACTGTACCACATAATATAACATTTTCAAATTCAATATTTTAAGGAATATCTTTAAATGAATTAGTGCAAGATACTAAAATTTCTTCGGCAGCTTTAGCAGTTTTTTAATCAGAATTAAGTAAAGTCAGATTTATTAATAATTTTATAATAGATGTTATAGTTTTAAATTCAAGTAATTCAATACTTTTAATTTAAGTATTATAATTAGAAATTTTTAATTTAACAAGCATAAATGTAAACAATTTTTAAAGCTATCTTGAAAAATATAGAGATGAATAATTTATTATTATTGACTATTAAGATTCTCCATCAATAAATTCTTTAGGCGGATTAATAAATTTTTAAATCCAGAATCTACTTATATTAAATTCTTATTTTATTAATTCAACAGGATTATAGGGAGGTGTATTAAGTATTACTACTAAATAGAATGGGTTAATAAATATAACAAATTGTAATTTTATAAATCAATCTACAAGTATTAGTAATTCATAGGATGGAAAAGGTGGTAGTATTTTAATTAATTCAGAAAATTCATATTTAAATCTTTTTGTCAGTGATACAAATTTTATTAATTCCAAAAGTGGCTTTATTGGAGGGGTAATTTATTTTAAACCATCATTTTATTAAGTTGCTATATCTCTTAATAATTTATTTTTGAAAGATGTATATGCAATTTATAATTCAGCATTTTCATTTTAAATGAGTGAACTTAATGCTAGATCTGTATCTTTTATATCAATTAAAAATGTTAATGTTGAAAACAACTTTTTGGAATTTTTAGCTTACTTAAGTTAATTTAATTTAGATATAAATAATTATTAAATAAACTAAGATTCAGCAGTATTTGGTTTAAAAGATTGGTAAATTTAATATATAATTTAATAGTTAAGTCTTATTAGATAACTCTTAATTTAATGGATTTACGTTTCAACCAATTTTTTATTTCAAATTTGTTAAGAGAATTTTAATAAATAATTTGATTTTATAAAATATAACCTATCTATCTTCTAAATTAATTTATTTTGAAAATGAATAAGGTATAATTAAAAATAAAATTTAGGTTTGAAATCAACTCTTTTAGTAAAAATGTTGCAAATAAGAGATTGTTCAACATATGAAAAAGATTTATAAATATCTGATAAGAAATACTCTTAAGATTTAAAAAACTTAAATAATTATCTGTAATCATTGATTTAAGGAGACAAATTAAATACTCTTATTCAAATGAATTTGTATTAAAACATCTCATAAGCACATGTTAAATAATTGAATCTTATATAAAATAATTGCACTATTTGTAATAGTGGAATATTCTATTTAAATGATGATCAAAGCAATTCAAGTTTGAGATTATTAGGATTAAGTTTTTTATACAATTTTTGTGGTTTAGATTCATGTTTTTTAGCTAAATCACAAGATAATTAAAAGTATATTTTATTGTCAAAATCTAAATTCATTAATAATAAAGCCTAAATTGGAGGAGCAATAAGATCTGATAATTATGGTTTTTTAATTAAATAATGTATATTTATTTAGAATGAAGCTAAAAGTAAAGGAGGGGCTATTTATTATTAAAACAAAAAATAAAATCTTAAGATTTTTGATGTATATTTTTACTCCAATAAAGCTTAAATTGGAGGAGCTATTTATGATCAAAATCTATATAATAATAATTCAATCTAATTTTATTTTATAGGGAATAATGCTTCATTATATGGCAATAACATAGCCACTTAAGCTAATGTGTTATAATTATTAATTAATGATGTTCCATAAATTAGTAAAACTAAATATTAAGATAATTAAACAATAAATGAAATCTTTTTTATTAACAAATCAAAACCAACAAAGTTTTTTTATTTTCCAAGTGGTTCAGATTTAAATAGATATTAAAAGTTTAATAAAAGTAGTACATCTTTTTAAAAACTATTATTTGATATATCAATAAAAGCATACAATTTTCAGATTGAATAAATGATTGAATAAAAAAATACAAATTGTTCTTTTAATTCTTAACTTGTATAAAATATGGGAAATTAAGAATAAGATATAAATAAATCAGCTATCGCATAAGTAATTTATGATGATTCAAAATATTTATATAATTTAAATCACCTTTCTTTTACTTTAGATCCTTATTTAGAATAAAATTATTATCTTAAAACTGATGTTTAATGTGATAGTGTTAATTTTACAAATTATTTTTTAAGATTTTATAGTAAATCTTTTAAGTGTTAGATTGGAGAATACTTTTAAGATAAACAATGTCTAAAATGTGATAGCAATCAAGGATATTATTCTGTTGAATACAAGGCAATATAATGTCAAAGAATGAATATTCAAATGATTAAAAGTACAACTGGAGCTTTAATTGAATTATAACCTGGATATTGGAGACCAACTTTAAGATCAAATAAAATTGAATAATGTAAAACTTATCCAAATAGATGTTTGGGTAGTTGGTCAGTATCTGATCAATCATGTGATATTGGTGCTATAGGAGCTTTATGTGAATAATGCGATATTTATAATATTAGAGGTCATGGCTCATTTTTAAATAATAAAGTATAAAATTGTTAAGAATGTGGTGGATTGAGTTATCAATTCATTTTTATGATTCTTGAAACTTTTTGGATTGTTTTGTTAATTGGATTGACCATCAAAAGTAATAGCTTTTCAAATAAATAACTGTTTAAATTAAAATGTCTTTATAAACACTTTGGAACTATTCATAAATAAATGATTGATTAAACGAGTACTTTAATTAAATTGGCTAATAATAACTTTTAGATTTTATCATTGATTGATACTTTTTAAATTTCTATATTTTCTAATTTAACCAATGTTGTTTTATTTTTTGGTGATTCCACATATATGGTTACATATTAACTAGATTGTGCAATTCCATATATTACTAATATTAATTACGAATATGCACATTTTATATTAATGCTATTATTACCATTATTCCATTTTGCTTTAGGATGCTTTATATTTTTTTTATTATTATTAAGGAAAAAAGTTATTTTTTCAAAATCGTAAATTTACTGTGCCATAATTTATTTGTATTGTTTAAATTAATAAAACATTGTTAAATGGTAATATTATTATAATAATTATAATTAGGGGTGTCTCATTAATAACAAAAAGATCACTTTCAGGTATTGATTGGATTCAAGCTAATGTAGAAAATAAATATGATACTCAAGTTCATTAAGATTGGTCTATTAGATTCATTTATCCTATTTTAATTATTTATGGTATTATTATTCCTTTATTTTTGTATTTGCAATTAACAAAAATAAAAGATTGTCTTGATGAAAAAAATTCAAGATTAAAATATTCATATTTATATAATGAATATAATTAAGAATCTTATTATTGGGAAATAATTAAAATGCTCTAAAAACTATCTATTATACTTATTGTAAACTACTATGAATAATTCATTTTAGTAAAAGGAATCATTATAATTTTAATCATATTGACTTATTATAAACTTTGCTAATAATTTTAACCCTATAAATTATAATCATTAAGTATTATTGATGTTAAAACATCATTTTTATTATCTGTAACAATGTTACTTGGTCTATTACTATATGTTGTCTAATAAGAAAATATAATGTATCTTAATTACTTGATTCAAATGATTATGATTTTCCTTATTTTAGCTTTAGCAGAGGCTCTTTTACATAGAATTTTTATTGCTTATATCTCTAAATTAAATTTACAATTAGATTTCATTAGAAAAATTATTATCAGGAGATTTCCAAACATTACTTAACAAATTAAATTTCTTAAACCATATCTTTTATTAAGAAAAGATTAAGAACAAAGAATATAATTAAGATTTAGAAAAATCAAACAATATTTGAAATCTTAATCTAAATTGACAAATAACAAACAAATTGTTTTGAGTTTCAAAGAATCTAGTTTAATTGTCTCAAATCCTTTATCATAAAATACTACTCGCCCATTTATAAATACAGAGAGAAACTAGAACACCAAAATTTTAGACTGATTTGATTTATAAAATCATAAATATTAATCTTGTTTCTCCTTATAAATTTACAATAAGGTTTATTTACTAAATTATATATTAATTAAATAAATTTAATCAATAAATAAGTCATCTATTATCTTAATTAGTTTTTTTTCTAAAGGAGCATCTCTTAGCAATTCTTGTTTAATGGATTGAAAGATACAAATCAGGAGTTAATTCCTTTAAATTAAAATAATCTAAGAAATTTGCTTAAACTTTCTCTACATTCAGAAATTGCCTTCCACATTAGAATTAAACATAAGTAACTTATTCTCGAATTGACGTACTTTTATTTTATTCTATAAATGTTTTTATTTTCATATTCGTAATGAATTTTTCTCCTTGGTAATTTATGATATTTGTGGTAAAATGAGCCTCGCCATTTTTAGAAAAAATTTTCATAAAATCCCAACATTTTGGTAACAAATTATGATTAAATATATAATCATCTATTATTATTTGATTTATTCCCATCATTCTAAGGAAATCATAATTCCATTTTTTGGATATTTTGATAAGTTTATTATTTAAAGATGATAAAGTTATGCGTTCATAAGGGCAGTTTAATGAGTCTTCAAAACTTTTTCTTTCTTCTAATCCTTAGGCTTATACTGGAAAACTATTGTATAATTATGATAATTCATGATAATAACTTAATTTTTTTTAAAGCCCATTTTCTTCATCATAAAAATTTGTTGGTGATAATTTACACTCAACAAACTCAGAAGTAATTTTCCTTTCCAAAATTTTATTATTCATTGTAAATTCATCAATAAATAATCTTCCTAAAGGTATTGGTTTTACACGAATTGAACTTATCGATTGATCAATAGATTTTATTTGACTGATAATATAAGTTTATTATCTCAATTTTCTTTTATTTTGAGAAGCTAAAATAAGAGATTGTTCTTATTTTTTCATTGTTTACGTAGTGTACTTTTTCTATTTTGTTATTGCTTTGTGATGTATTTTATCTAAACTCGATCCTTTCTTACTTTGGCACTTAGGAGTTGAATGATTAGAATATATAGATGACATAAAGCTGAAATAATAAAATGAATGATTTAATAGTTATAACTGGCAATTATGAATGCCAGTTTAAGTGTGTTAATAAAAATATAGTACTATGAATTATTACACAAAGATTTGTAATTAATAAATAATTTATATTGATAAAAGTCTCATTAATTTAATTGAATTTAATATATATAACAATTCAATCAGAAAAGACATTAAAATGCTGGATTCTTCTCAAAAATTTATTACTCATTTTTATATATATAAAAAATTTTATTCTTGGCTATATGAAAAATACTGAAATATTATAATATAAAATAGCTTAAATATCACTATTTATATATAATTTAAATTTAGTTCTCAAAAGTTTTCTTCATACAGACTTATATTTAGATGAATAATCATCAATTTAAAGAGAATAGATCATGTTTATTACTTACTAAAAGGTTAGATTTTAAAATAATAAATATTTTAAATATTTAAATTATTTACACAATAAAGTTAATTTATATAATTAAATCTAATTAAGCAAAATTTACTCTAATAAATCAAAGACATTCAATTTTGTTAAAATTTTTAAGGCTTATTATGATTCTTATATTGCTTAGGATTCATTGTGTTTATTTAATTGATTTTCTTTAGAGTTAATTCTAAAGAGAAATTTAAATAATATTAATACTTGATATATAATTAAATGCTTTAGATTTAACATTAAATCATAGACATATTCATTTCTAAAAATTGTTAAGATAGTAAACATAAACAGTCACAATTAAAGTTGATATTATTGGAATTTAGATAATTTTAAAGTAAAATTACTTTTTAAATATACAGCAATAAAAATTTTAAAGAATTAGATTGCTGACATCAATTATTAATTTATTTGTTTCTTAAGCATAAAAACAGCTTTGGAGCAATAAATTTATATTTTTATATAATAATTTACATGATATAAATTATTAGTAATTAGATAATTTAGGAGCTTTTAATATATAAAATATGATTAATAAATAATTAAAGATATAATTGTATTTAGAGAATAATAATAAAGATAGAAAAGAATAAAGCAAATTTAGCATTGTTTTTAGAAAATTTTGTAATTATATATCTAGATTAATTATTTATAATTAATATATTAAAAAAATCAGATGGTATTTGCAAAAATAGCTTTGGGAACAGTAGGAGCAGGTATTATTGGATATTTATTTGTTCCACCATTTAATAGAAAGCTTGAAAGAAATGTTCTTAGACCAATTAGAAATTATAGAAGACATTTATAATAAGAGGATTCATTCAAGACAGAAGTATATCACTCATAAAATTTGTTAGGAAGAATTTTATTAATTTTTAGGAAGTGTTGCTTTAGGCACATTAAGAATGTTTACAATCGAAAGCGATTGAACAATTATTATATATTAAATAATATCAAATAATATTTAAAGAATGATTAAGCTTCGTTATTTTTTTACTAATATCCATAAAACTAAAGCATATGAAAATCTGATGAAATAATAAAAAGCATAAGTAGATTTAGTAAAGGATTATATGAACAAGATGAAGAATGCAAAATCGTAAATACTATGTTTATAAAAAGGGAGGAAGAATTAATCAAGTTGAAATACTAATCATAAAGTTAATTTTAAGAATTAAAAAGTTCACAAACTGAAATTATAGAGTAAATTAAAAATGAAAAAAAGAAAAATTTTGAAAAACACTTAATTAGTATGGAAGTAGATCCTGAAGATATAGAATTACTTTACAAAGGAAAATAGAAATAAAATAAAGATGAAATAATAGTTGATGATGAAAAGCCATAGAATACAACTTAAACATAAGAATCAACTAAAATAAATGTACCTAATAATTTAGAAATCAGAAATTTAGCATCTCCAATAAGATCTCAAGGACATTTTATTTTATTTGGAGTTTAAAAACACAATGCATAACATTCTTCATATATTTATGGTATAAAATCATTATAATTATATAAGATGCTCTTTTTAATTTAAAACCATAAGTTATTTTAAGTGATATACCTGTAGATGATCCATTTTTTATTAAAACAGAAGGTAATTATAAATAAACTTGGAAATCATTTATAGAAAATAAACTCACTCCAACATTTCTTATTAATCCATCACCTATGAGCTTATCAGATATTCATTTACATTAAAATAAAATTAAATGGATATTTGAAAATAATCTTTCTAAAAACTCATAATTTATTATTAATCCAACTAATATTAGCGAAATAACTAAATCTATATTTAATAATAAAATTGAAATCATAGATATATTGAAAACTCCATTTTTATTTAGTTATCATCATTCAACACCTATTATAATAAATGGATATCCTGAATTAAATTACAGATATTATTTGGCAGATAATTGTTAATTAACCAATTTAAAAGACTTATTAAAAGAAAAAAGGTTAGCAAGATAATAGAAAAGAAGAAATTTTGATCCTTTTTTATTATCTCCAGATTTATTTATTTTACCAAAAATTAAATTTATGGTTGAAATTATTAAAACGTGTAATTATTTATATTAAATAATATTTAGCTTTAACATCATATAGTAATGGAATTATTATTACAGAATCTAACAAAATTAATTAGATTGAAGAAGAATGGGAAAAATCTTCTCATCAAAATATTTCTACAGATTTAAGAGATTGCATTTATCCACTTTAGCCAATTAAAGAAGCAGACGAATTTATCAAGAAATTAATTATATTAGATGAACTTATCTCCCCATACATTTACAATAATTTTGTTTAATATAATAGTTTTCCTTATTAATTTGATGCAGCATTCAAAATAAGTCTTCAATAATTTTGGGATTATGAAAGAAATAAAATATTAAAATGAGTAATTGTTTATATTTTGTAATTAATATACAGATAATAACTCCATACAAAAAAAAGATTTATTATCATAACTTTATTTATTTTATTCTTTTTGCTTTTTCTAAGTATTATTTTATTTTATTTGAAAATTTCGTAGATACTAAAATTTTTATATATTGAAGTTGAAAATTTCTCAAAATTTAAGTGAATGCATTTTTTATTTTGAATAACATATTTACTTCAACTAGTTATTAAAGAATGAATACAGACATGCTATGTCGAAATTTTAGTAAATGAAAGGGAAAAAATATAAACAATTAATTGATTACTAAAGTTACTGAGATTGAAAAAGTTAACATAAGCTATAAAGAAACTCTTTTAGAATAAAGGGATATAAAATTAAGTTGGATTTATTTAAGCAAAATAATTCACAGGATTAGATTAAACTTTTGATTTTCAACTTTACAAAGAAGTTATAAATTTGATTTAAAGAAATTTAGTGAGCTATTTTATGATAGTAAATAAATATCAATTAAGATCTAACTATTCTTAATTTTAATACTTAGAATATTTTTTAGGTCCATCTGAAAGAATAATTAATAAAATTTAAAATCTTGTTAATCACCTCTTAAAATCTGTCAGATTTCTGATAAATTTAAATTATCCTCAAATTATTTTTTTTATTTTACATGCACTACTTTAATAGTAAAATGTAATTCTTCTTAAGTCTTATTTCGAAATTTTTGAAAAATAAAATACATTAATTGGAAAAGTAATATCTAAAGTCTCAAAATAAAGTTGGGCATTAATAAAATTACTTTTTTTCTTAAGACTAATAAGATTAATAATTTAATTTTAAAGAAAATCTAATGAATTTTCTTATTACATTTATTTTATTATTATTTTACATCAGTTTAAAATCATTTTACATATACCTTTCAAAATCATAGTGAATAAACTTAGATCAATTAAAAGAGAAAAATATAAAAATAAACTATACCTTCAAAGTTAAAATTCAGTATCTAAAGTATTATGTATAAAGCTTTTATCATAAAATTTATTTTAGATAAGCCATCTATAAATGATGGTTAGTTGAATGAACCTGTATTCTATTAGAAAATTTAATTGTAAATGGCTATAATGGAGAAGATAAACTAATTTATTAAGCAATTTATGGAAATGTTAACCAAAGATACAAAAGGAGTCTATCCTTAATTATTGAGAAAAGTTTAAACTTTAATTAAATTAGGAATAGAACAGAAATTAGATTATTTAAATTGAATTTTTTTCTTAATAATTTCTAAAATAAGTTTTAATATATATATCATTCTCAAAAGGTTCATAATTATTCTTTATTTTTGTTTTATAACAATTAATTACAATAGATTTTAATTAATAAATTAAATTGTAAAACAAATATTAATAATTAGAATATGGAAATCATTATTGAGTTAAAAGCCTATTAAATACTATTAGTTCTTAGTGCAATTATGATTATAATAGGAATAAAAAAAGAATATTAAAACATAATTGAAAGATAATAGGAATAGATTTAAGAATAAGAGCTTCCCTAATAAAATATTGAAATTGTTTAAAACAATTAAGAATAATAATTTGAGGATTTACCAAAAATTTGAATTTAAAAAGTTAATATATATTTTATATAATTATTATGCAATTTTGGTCAAGTATTTAAAGAATTGCAAATTAATTTAAGGAAAAGTGTTTAAGTCTAATCAAGCCACCTGATCCTTTATAAGGCTTAAAAGATTAATTAAATGATATTAATTAAATGGAAGATTAATATTAAGATATAAATAAAAAATTAGATGAACTTTAATTGGAAAGTTAAGAAATACTTGAAATAAAAAATGAAGGAAATTAAATTCCTTAAATAATTGATGAAGATTACGAAATTGCTATAAAATTGGGTATAAATTTTGTTAATCATAGTCTATTCAACTTTGACAAAAAAATAAAGGGAATTTTATAATTTGATAACTGAAATGGAATATAAAAAAGTTATAGCAGCTCTTAAAACATAAAATTATTCTAGATTAAAACCACATGTTTGGTTAAATGATGAAGTAATTAGAATAAATATTTGGTTAGATTATAAATAATTTTACTAAATTATTAGACTTCAATAATGGTACTGTTATCCTTAACTCTTATTAGTTTGATTTATTAATCAAAGCTGATGATACTAAATTTAAAAGAATAGTTTAAAGAGCTAAGATAGATTAAAATACAAAATAAATTTTAGCTCCTTTTAATTAAAATAATGTACATTGGTATACTTTTTAAATTGACTTCGAATAATATGTTATAACTATATATGATAGTATGACAAGAAGTAATTATCCTTAATTGTTCCAAGAACTTCTTGGACTTGCATAGAGAATAAAGAATAATGAATATGAACTAAAGGTTGGTAATTGTCCTCAATAAAGCAACACTCATGATTGTGGAGTTTTTACTTTAAAAAATATATGGATTTTATCAAAATACCCAAAAGCAAAGTTAAAAAGTTTTTATGACTAATCAACGATATTCTACGATAGAATACAAATATGTCATTCATTATTGCAGTAAAAAATTGATAAAGTTTGATTATTGTTAATATATATTATAATATATGACTTTGAAAAGATAAGAAGATATATATTTAATTAATGTTTTAATTCAAAATCATAATTAATTATGTAGCATCATTTTAATCCTTTCATCATAATTAAAAGTACATTGTTATTACATAATGCTTCTTACAAATTGAAATTCAAGTTAAAGAAACTATTATATCAACTATATGTTTGTCTACAATTACTAGGATACATTTTCTGATTTATCAGGTAACCAATAATAGTGATCCTAATTCCAATCAATTAAGGCTATTGATTCTAAAAACTAAAAAATATTATAATAAAATTTTACAGGATCTTATCTCAATAAAAAGTTGGTTCCAACATCTATTGATTTTTTATCCTCAACAGATGATATAAATTTTTTAATAATCTTTTATTAATCAGAATTCAAAGCCTTTTTGCTTGCTTTTTTCTTTAAATCTTTTATCATAATAAAAATTTATTAATGAACTAAATCGACTTAATTAATATATGGCCAATAAGTCATGATCCATTAAATATGATCCCACAACTAATGATATTATGATTATTAATGAAATTTAAAGGTTAAAATAGCCAAATGAGACATATAAGCTTTTAATATCTCTTAACTAAGATGAACAATAATATTGTTTTAGCTATTTTCATTAATAAATCTGATTGCATTTAAAGCTAGTAATTACTTATCTTAAAGAATGCATTCTAAAGAATAAGTTAAGACTTTTGTGCATTATTAATATTAAACATATTCAGTTAATCTTATTTACATAATTTGCATATCTTTTTTACTTACAGTTAATTAAGTTGGTGCTTTTTATGGTTAGTTTTATAGTAAAACACTTAACTTTTATGCAAAAGCATTCATATTCTTAATATCTGAGATTGATTATCCTGTAACATCTCTTATGCTACAATCTAAGATTTACCATTTAACAAAATCATCAATCTTCTTTTGAGTATAAATCAAGAAAGTAGCAAAATTATTTAAATGAGGTAATTAAATACTATTTTTCTTCTAAATTAATTATTATACTTTATTCATTCTTGTCAAATATTATTAAAATACTTCTTCTGCCTATTATTATTGTTTTAAGAATAATAATTCTTGATCGACTTTTTAATTAAATTAAACAGCATATTATTATAGATCTTTTCTAATTAATTATTCATATGGTTTTCTATCATCCATATCCAATAGATTCCCTTAACCACCTGTAAAACTATAATCACTTTTTAGATTTTTGTCTTGATAAATTAAATATACGAGATTTTCTGGAGAATATTAAATTTCTATTTCAAATTCTTTTCTTATTTCTGCAAATCCATCTTCAAAAAAAAAACATTATTCATTATTTTTGATATATACACATTCATAATCTCCATCATATATAATTACAGCATGCAAATTATATTCTATTTTATTAAAACTACCCATAATTAATTTAATTTATTGGTCCATTTTATCTAATTCATCTTTCAATTTTTCTAACTCTTAATTAGCATCCATTATTAAAGATATAAAACCTTCAATTGCTTCATCACCATCAATCAATTCTTCTCTTTATTCTTATATGATATTTATAGTCATTTATAATATTTAAGGAATACTTTATGAAGTTTATTAATAATTTTCAACATTTTTAATCTTTTAAATAATCTCTTCTCTCTTCATCATTAATTCTTTAATATCTGATTAATGTTATTTTATAGTTCCTTTATTTGAATACATAAATTAATCTAAATATATAGTAGGCATTATAACTAAGCTTGATTTTTTTGTTATTTCAAATTACATTATTTTAGGTAAGTCTTTTATTGAACAATCTTCTTATTCAAATTTCTTTTACAATCCTTCCATAAATGATTCATTCTCTAAATCAATCTTAATTAAATGAAATGTTGTTTCATCATTTCCTTTTATGAATTTACCAATAAATAATTCCCTAATTGGATGTTCTTCAACAAATTCATTAAGCATTGTTCTATATTTAGATATTGATTCATCTACTTTCTCAAAAAATCTCACTAAAAATTCTTCAACACTTTTATATCTAGTATTATAATCATCCTTCATAAATTAATATACATCAATCGCAGATGTGTCTTTTTTCTTACAAAATATCAATTACACAAATAATTATTGTAAAAGTAATGTTACTCCTTCTTCATTAATAATAGAATCCTATTTTTTAAATTATTTTTATACATCATACTATAAAATTTGTTCGGCAAATGATGGAATATGAAAATACGTCAACATAAAGCAATCTAACAATTAAAATTAAGGTGATCTTTTTAAAGCTACTGGTACTCCACTCTTTCTCATCTTAAGATCTAATTTAGATTGCATTTTTGTTGGCGTATCAAATTTGGTTGGACTTTAATTCATATTATTATTGATTATTTTAATTTTTTAATCAAAATACATCTATATAAATATTTTATTACTATTTCTTTATTTAGATAGATATGTGATGAACATAATCCATGTATATTTTATTATGCTATACTCATTTATATAAATATAAAATATATGCCTTATAATCTAATTAAAAAAAAAAATTCATTTATTATTAAATTAATTTCTATTATGTCCATAAATTACGACCTATTGAAAATCTAAATCAATACACTAACAGAATGCTATATGGAGTAGAGTCATAAATCATTAATATTAGATTTTTCTACTTTCAATTAAGAAGAACATTTAAATTACTTAAAATCGTATTCTATAAATTTAATAATAGATTTCTATATCAACCTCTAATAGGTTAGGAAACAGAATTTTATGAAAAAAATAAAGATCGATTAGATGATTTAACATAATTTGAATAATAATTTCTTGAAATTTTCTATAATGATTTAATAATTAAGGATTTTACATCAGCTGTAAAGATTATATTTAATTCTACTTTAGATGATATTGTCAAAAGAATAATTCACTCGATAATAAATATTAGATCCTTCAAAGACACCATTAGAATTTTTCTAAACAACTTAATCAACAATTAAAAGAGGCTGTGTAGTCAATGATGAAAACCCGAAAGATTTAGCAGCAGAACTTAAAACTTTTGGATATTAAACTAAACCTTCAATTTAATTGATTTGTTTAAAGTTGGTTTATGATCTTGGAAAAGATGTAAATGAAAATTTAGATTCTATTTGTAAAAAAGTTAGAGATTCATAAATGTCAAATCTTGCTCCAATTCTAGATATTCAATTTAAAACTGATAACATTCAGAATTTATATAAAGATGCTTAAAAAGCCTATTCAACTATTAATGCAGCACTTTTGAATCAAGAAGTAGAAACAGAATATATGATATTATGTACTAATATTGTAGATTTGGCGATTACATATTTAGGTGATACTGAATTAAAAGGTGAAGATTAAAATAGACGTTATTCAAATAATTTAATTTATTTTGTATTGAAAATTTTGTTTAATTCCGTTCCACCTAGTTATGGTGGAATATTTTTCACATTTGATAGAGGATTTATTTAAAGTAAAAAGATTTTTCATTTCATGAACAATCTCAATAAATTTGATATATACATAGCTTGGCCTTTTGGTGTTAAATTAAATGCCAAAGTATTTGATGAAGTTGCAAAAAGTAATACTTTAAAAATATTAAAGGTTATGCAATTGTTTAAAGATAATAATCAGCGACAATTACAGTAAATTAAACTTTAAAGATATTCTAAGAATGTTTTTCCGGAAAATATAAGGATGAAGCAGAAAAAGACATTCTCTAACCAATAAAATTAGGATAATGATTATTATATAGGATAATATCAATATATTAATATATTTTATATTTTAGGCTACTTTCTTTTTAATAATTGATTAATTCTAATTATTAAAAAATGAATATGAAAACTATTCAGATTATTCAGACTACTCAAAAAATGTAATAGATATAAAATAATTTGAATTTTATTTATAATATTAATATTAAGCTAGAAAATGGAAATAAAGAATATTTTGAAATAATTCAAATTTATAGATATATTTAAATAACTTATATTGTTTTAATTATTTGTCATTAATTTTATTCTTATTTAAGGTCTGATAATGACTCAGGTTCTCCTTATTATTGTGATTATTCATTTGATTTATAAAATGTTCTATCCTTAACTAATTCTGGATGTTTTAATTTGATGTGTTAATTTAGAGATCCTTCAGCTCTAGAATAAATTTCTTAAAAGAGTTTTACCCATATTTTTTTTAGCAATTTTCAACAGGACAAGTGAAATGCCTTTCTATTTCTTATGCTGGTCTTCTTAATCTTTTCTTTCTTTCTTCTCCAGTTTCTTCAACATTGGAGTTAAGCTCTTAATTTCGACGCTTGAATTTTGGTGATATTAAAAATTACTTCTAATTTATTTAATTTATTGACTAGTTCATTCTTTTCATTCAAAAGTTCTTTTAACTAATATAAATTCTATATAATACTTAATTTGTTAAAACTACATTAGCTATATATAGTCTAAGATATTCATTATAATATTCTAAATTTTGATCTTATTATGGGACTAAGATTTGAATATGTTTATACCTTGTTGTTCGTCTTATCCGGCAACATAATTTTAAAATCTCAAAGGTTCATCACCCATAATAAATTTTTAATTCTCACCATCAGATCTAAAGGTATTGATATGTAAATACTTTGCATTACTCATTTTTTATATAATTAATATTTTTTATTAATAATTTTCTTAACTTAAAATTGAATTAAGAATTAAGGAAGAAGATATCGTATAGATTGAATTTTAAAAACTTAAAGTATTGAATTTCTAATATAAACAATTGGTATTTTATAATTAAAGTTAGTATTTGAATGTGAAACAAAAATAAAACTTATATTATTCTTATATATAATTATTAATTTAACGGATATATATATGGACAGATTTATTCCGAAAAGTAAATCGAAATTGTTGTATCAATCACACACTTAATCAAATTATAATGATGTACTTTAATTTACTATTTTAGTTATTGTATCATATAAATGAGGAGAAAGTGTTAAATTTTGGAAATCAAAAATAACAGCACAATTATCCAATATCATTTTTGGACTAGTTACATAATTAATACAGATTACCAATCTAATAGACTGTAAGATAAATAAGTTCAGTTCCTGAGAAAATATTAGATGCTCCAGATATTGCAGATGACTTTTATCTAAATATTTTGGAATGGGGTAATAATAATGTGTTATCAGTGGGATTGTAAAATAAAGTATATTTATGGAATGCATCAAATTGTAATAAAATATAAATAAAAAGTAGAGCATATAGAATAACTTTTATAAGCAACATCGAATGTTACTGCAGTTCATTGGATAAATGATCATATTTTAGGAGTAGGATTTGATGATGCATCTATTAAGATAGTTGATGTTTGTTCGTAACAAACAATAACATAGTTATATTATCATAATGAGAGAGTATCAACAATAAGTAGTAGTTTTGAATTATTATCAACATCTGGTAGAGATAATGTGATATTCAATCATGATTTAAGAGAGAAGAATAATAATGTAGTAGGTGTATTTTAGAAACACACATAAGAAGTTTGTGGTTTGAAATGGAATTCATCTGGAACTACTTTAAGTAGTGGAGCAAATGATAATTAATTATTATTATGGGATAAAAGATAAATGTCATTACGTTTATCATGTGAAGGCCATTGTGCAGCTGTTAAAGCTATGGCATGGTGTCCATGGTTACCTAATATTTTAGTAAGTGGAGGAGGATCTAATGATAAAAATATTAAATTTTGGAATTCTGATACAGGATTATGCTTTAAAAGTATAGATACTGGTTCATAAGTTTGTGCTTTATAATTTCTACCTAGATATAGAGAACTAATCTCATCACATGGCTTTTCAAAATTCTAAATTAGTATATGGAATGCAGAAGTAATTTAATAAGCCAAATTGGTCTAAGAACTTTAAGCTCATAAATCAAGAGTATTACATTTAGGAATATCTCCTGATTAATCTATGCTATGTTCTGCAGCAGGAGATGAAACTTTAATATTTTGGAGACTAGGCACAGAATAAAACAATTAAGATAAATAAGAAATGTGTTCTAGTAAAAACCTATTTCTCAGATGATATTATATTATTGCTTATTTACAAATAATTTAATAATTAATTATCTTTCTTTAATGATTAGAGGAGACTCTGATGAGTTCAAATAAAATGCAAATAGCTAGTTAATGATGAGTAAAACTAGTAGAGAAATATTAGATGGATAAAATTCAAGAAGAGATCACTTATTCTAAAAATTACCATCTTTAGATTGTACTCAACCTAATAATTTTTGGTAAATAAAAAAAGGAGGGTCTGCAAGATGTATTATTGATTCTGAAAGATTATCTACTGCTTCAAAGCCACTTACACCTTAATCAAAAAAAAAATAAAAACATTAAACAATCTAAATTGAAGAGAACAACTAATTTGATCTAGGTTCAAGTCGTCATTTCTAAAGATTATTTACTGTCAAGAATTAAGTCAAATCATCTCATGGAAGTGTTAAAACTTCAAGGGATGAAAACACTAGTTATGTCAGTAGTAATGTGGTACTCAAAAAATCACAGTATCATCAAACTCAATTGATACAACAATCATAATAAATATAATCTTCTGTTTAATAATAATAATGTCCATTCTCCTCAGGAAAATCAATCAAAGATATTTTATGCTAATTTAAAGATAAAAAGTATAACTTATAAATATTATTTAGACCTAAAACTGGAATTACAAGACATAGTGAATTTGAAAAAATGGAAGGCTTAGATGATTATGCAAAAGAGTTTGCTTAAGTTCTAACTTAAGATTAATTAATTGGACCAATTATTGGAGATGCTCATGAAATGAAAGGAGTTGTTAAAGCATTAATTGATTTAAGTAATGGAAATAAATTAACATATCATTTTGAAAGTCTTAAGTAATTGCATTAGAATCTTAATATAACTGATGAGATGTTTAATAGGTTTAAATATCTTTATATTAAAAAATTAATTGACATTAAAATTTCAATGGAAGTAACATTTAAATGTGCATAAACAGTCGAATATTTTAGAGGAGCCATTATTTGCAATGTATCTCATACTCTTATTTTAATTATAGTCTCGCTCTGTTTAAAATGTTAAAGATAGTATCAGAACAATTGCTAAAAATATGTATGCATAAATTTTTGAAGATTTTTCATTAAGTCCATTATTCAAAGGAACTAAATAAGAAGAATAGGCTTTAAAATTTAGCAGAATCTTTGGATTTATTTTAGGATCGTCTGAATCAACAAATTATGTAATGGATTCAATGAGAGACTTTCACAAAGCGTTTAGAATTAATTCTGTCCAATATTCAGTATTTAAATATTATTTATCTGGTGCATTATCCAAACACACTGAAAAAGAAGTTGTTTGGTATATTCTTGAACAAACTGATGCTTACAAAGCTGCAGTTATAGATTAAGATAGCATCAAAGATTTAGTTTATAAATAATTTGGAATTGATAATTTTTGTACTGAATTCATTAAGTTATGTTAAAATGATGCTTTTATTAATAAAAATTTCATACATAAACTTGGATATGATCAATTTGTTTAACATACCAAATATTTCTTATAATATGCTTTTAACAAATAAAATAATTGTTTTACTCTTGAAGATTTGAATTAATTGCATTGTTAATATCAAATTAATATGTAATTATATCAAAGTGTAAAAGATAAATTACTAATTTTATTGTCAAGACTCAATCCTTAGAGAGTTATATTTTAAGATTTCGAAGAAGAATTTGATCTTATACTACCTTATATAATTAATTAGAAATTACCATGCGATATTGTGGGAGAAAAGAGACTCTGTGAGTTTGTTCCTCTGATATCTGATGAACTTTAATCCAATGTTGAAATCAAAAATATTTTTGATAGCAATGATGCTAACATTACAAAAACTATTCTCAAAAAATTTGAATATTTACTATCTGGAAGGAAATATTTTAAAAGATCAGATATCTAAGCTATACATTCTAGACTTAAAATTAGTGAGGCTGTATTTGAGGAATTTATTTATATTATCGAAAAAGTTATCTATTAATATGATACTTCACTTTTATGGATGATTGATGCCATAAAATAATGGAAATATATCATAATAACTGTCTGAGTAAATTTATTTGTTTTGCTAAATAGAGTTAAATTTCAAGCAATTATATTATTATTTCAAAAAATTTAAAATCCAATTGTTTCTAATATTTTATCAAAAATATTAATTTATTTTATATTCACTAAATAATCAAGAAATAGGAACTAAATATGTTGATAGTTATATTTTATACATTTTCCAAATTTTGATTCTGCCAATAATAAATATTAACTTCAATTAAATATATATGATAATTAAATTATTTATATGTTGAATTCAACAGCATCAAACCAAGATGAAATCATACTAAAATCATCAAAAAGGTTTGTACTAGCAGATCAAGTCAAGGATTTAGAATCTGCCCCAATATATCGACCTAAAAGATCAAGTAAAAAAGTAAAATTATCACTTGTTACAAATCAACCTTTTACTTAATCCAAAATTTGTTATATTTGTCGTAAAAGCTGTGGAATAAAATTATGTAAATGTGATGATGTATAATATCATCCTGATTGTGTGATTGCTGAGATGAAGAAGCCTTCATCTTCGATATCAACTTTGCAATGTCTTTTTTGTTTATGTTTCTTTAAAACTGAAATTAAAAATAAAAAGTATAACATAATATGAAACTATAGATTTCATTAAAGAAAGAGTTATAGAAATTTTGCAATTTTACTAGCCATCTCTATAGCTATTGTCTTTATCTTAATAGGGGTATTATGGAATACACTTTCAACATTAATGATAATCATTTTATTTATAATCAATATATTGCTCTCCTTAATTGCATTATATTGTTACAAAAAAATTTATTACTTGGAAATAGATTGGAGGTTAGTAATAGCAGAAGATGAACCAATAAATCCATAGGCTTATAATAATGCAAAAATTATACTTCAAGCATTTTATACAAATACTGCTCATTACATCTTTGATACTGAAATGTAATGAATTATAAAGCAAATTTATGAGAATTCTTGAATTCATTTTAAAATCTCAAATATTTATTATTTAAAGACTCCAATTCTAAAAATATGAAAATTTCAGTATTAATTCTAATTACTGATTATTTAAGAATTGATTTCTTTCTATAAATTTCAGATATTTTATTAACATAAATGGATTAGTTAAAGATTACTTAACTTCTCTCTTAGACAAATGAGTAATAATTACTTTAATCAAACAGCTAAAATGTCTAAATAGTTTAACAATTAGAAAATGAGATTGAAGAATTATGTGAACCCATAGTCATTATTGAATAAATGGAAATATAACCTTAAATTGAACTTGATTAAGCTTAGACTTGGAATAATAACTACAATGAAGAAAATTAAGTAGAAGAAATATGAATTATGATTTCAATATGAATTTAGAAATTATTTTATATAAAATTTATATTTTAATTATGGATTCTTCATAAGATTAATCACACTTATTGGTTTCTAATTAAGAGGAAAATAATTCAACTTAAGAAGGAGTAAAACATTAATAAAATGAAAATAATGACAATCCGCTTGATGATAACTAAAATAAGGAATAATTACCTGATATCCAAAATTAACATAATATTCCAATAGAAGAATAAAATCAGGCTCAATTAGAAACTGAAAAACTTTCCTAGATTACTAATATAAATTAACTTTAAGAATAATAAGAAAATTCTCATCATTTAGATTCTGTTCCAAAAAACTAAAAAGAAAATAATTTAATAAATAATGATGAAAGTCACTATGAAAGAATCGATGAACATAATGATAAAAATTCATAATTTTTGGAGTCTGTATATGGAGCAAACACCTAACCACTTTGTAAATAAGAATAGTAATAACAAGTAGAAAATATATTCGTAGACTAATCTCAATTTGAAATCTTAGATAAACCTAATAATTAACAATTGGATTAATCAGAAACAATATAAAATGAACAATAATTTGATGATAAACTCCATTAAGCTTTAAACTTATCAAAAGAAGAATAAAATTAATAGGAACCTGAATTAATTTAACCAACACTACATTTGGATGGAAATATGAATATTTCTAAAAAAGAAGTTATTGAAGAAGAAGAAAAATAAGTTGAAGAAGGTATTATTATAGATGAAACTACTCAAAATTTGGCTTCAAATAATCAATAAAATTCTCATGTATCAGTTTAACCAAAAATAGCAGAAATTGATTAAAAATCATAACTTGTTCTTTAATTTTAAAAATCTTTAGATGAAGCAACATTCTTAAAAAATTAAGGAAATTAATGGTTTTAATAAAAAAATTATGAAAAAGCAATAGAGTAATATAATCTTTCTTTAGGATTATGTGATCCATATTATCTAATGTAATGTCCTGAAGAATAACTTTAATAATTTAAAAAATTAAGAATAAATTTGTTATCTAATTTAAGTGCTTGTTTTTTGAATCTTGGTGATTCTAATTCTTGTATTACACATGCCAATATAGTAAAATATAATAATAAAATTAATAGGCTATATAACTTGATCCTCAAAATCAAAAAGTATGGTATAGAAGAGCTTTGGCATATCAATAAAAATAGGATTATGAAGAAGCATGGAGAGATATTGATTAGGCATGGAATATAGTGAAGAATACTACATAAGATAAAGAGATTTTTGAGAAAAGAAAAGAAATTAAGAAACTTTTAAATCAATCAAATAAAGAAAGTGCTATACTTTTTAAAACAATGTTTAGTAATAATTAAGAATAAAATGAGGGCAAAAGTACAATGAATGAATAGAAAACAAAGGATTCTAAATTGACTACAAGTGAAATATAACAAAAAACAGAAAAAAATGATAATAATAATTAAATTGGTTTTAGATTCTCTGATATAATTTGGAAAACTACTGCATCAGCAGTTCTAGCTTCTTCAATGACAAAATTTATTTTGGAGGATAAACTTGATTCTAAAATGGGATTAATTAAGACTTTTATATTAGGGTCCTCAACAGCTTCATGTTTTATAGCAGAAAAACAATGGTAAAAACTTAGTTTTGCTACTGTCACAGCAGGATTTTTAGCCTTTGTTTTATATCAGAAATCAACTAAGTGAATTATTATATTCAATAGTATGAAAAGAATCAATTATTATTAATCTTAAATATTAAGAAAAAATAAGAAATAAGATACTATTTATTAAATATATGAATATTCAATTGAATCTTAGATTATTGAGTAATTCTTATATATTCTAAGTTGATTTAGTTACTACTAAACGTTATACCTTACTAATATCAGAATTCAATTCATCTTTCTCAATTACTAATTAATGTTATTGTTATGTGAGATTATGAGATTTGTGGCCTTTTTTGAGATTTTGTCTAAGTTTAACATGTTTTTCCATTATTCTATCATTTCTTCTCTCCATTTTAACTATATATTTATTCAACAATTCTTATTATTTTTATTATTTTTGAAAAGCAGCTTATTTGATTTTGTTTTGTATTTCATCTAACCTTTATTTAGCTTTTGCACTGCTGAACATTATTTTATCTTATATTTCTTAATGAATCATGGTTTCTCTTTAAGATTACATCTATGTTTTTGAATTTAAATTTTTATGAACTTTATTAAACTTTCTCTCTTATTCATCTTTAAATTTCTAAAGTGCTTATTGTATATCTTATTAATTTTTATTAGTCATTAATGTAGATTTTTCAACTTGATTACCTATCTTCTAAATGAATTTATTCTACTGTTCTAATTCAATTATTTAAGCTTGATGTATTCTATCTTAACTTGCTATTCCTTATCTAATAAAAGTGCTTCTTTGTGAGGTTTCCATTGAATATTGCAATCTAGTTCTTCTTAATTCATCTTGCTCAATAATATTTTTCTTTTTTTATCTATGATAATCCAAAGTTTATTAGGTTTTGGATTACATCATTATTTTGAATTTCATTTTAGATTCTAACAAGGTCTTTTATATAGGTTCAAATCTAGAGTCGAAATCAAGACTTTTACTCAACCTATCATCAAGTTCATGTTTTCTTCTTTCTCTTAATAAAGATAACTTTCGTTCTACTTTGCTATTATGTTGCTTTGCTTTCTGAGATATGGATTTCAATTTCTCTTCTACTTGCTTATAAATTTTATCAGTATTCTTTTATTATGCTTCTTTTATTTATAGTTCAGATTAATATAGTTGTTTGAGATCATGATCAAAAATCTTTTTAACAAAGTTCTATTATTTAGATTATTTGGGTGTTCTTAATACAATCCTAATTGATGGACCAATGATTTCTCTTCTACGATTCACTAAATTTTAGAGATTATCTAAAGAAATCATAGATTACTTTGACTACCTCTCAGTTATTGCAAATGGTTTAAGTACATGGTTCGCGATTCATGATGATAATTTAAGAAATTGGACAAAGTTCTTGTATGATAAATTGGGCACTATTTTACTTAAGTTAGCAATCATATTTAGTTAAATTAAGTTCTTTCATGGCAAACTATGTACGTGGTGAATCTAAATTTAGTCGCATGAGTAACTGATTTATTTCTCGCAAATGTGATTGGTCACTCTTACTATTCACTTCTGTAAAAAAAGTTTTCATTATTTATTATAATTTAAGAAACCAATATATTAAAATAATGAACCTCTTCTTCTTAAAAATTCAAAATCAATCATGGTTTAATAAATCAATAAAAAAAATTTACTACAAGTATTAAATCTAAATTTAAAACTAAACTTGATTGAGTTTGATACACTTATTTAATCATTATTAAACAGATTTAATTAAATTATTTCCTACTTTTGGTTTTTTAACATCAGCAAATTAAATTAACCTTCAAAAATTAATAGATCTTAAAAAAATAATTTGGGTATTCTAGAATTATTGATAATTTTTATTCTCATAGTGCCAAATAGACGGAGACTGTTTTTGAATATTTTGAATTCTCTTTAGGAGTGCAAAAGGGATATTTGAAATAAATATTCTGAAAATTTAATAGTTTTGAATAAGTCTTTTTAGAACTATTGATTTTATTTTTTTTTGAGAAGATTAATAGAAAATTATTGAGAATCATTTTTTTTATTGATTATGAAATAATCATCTATTTTGGAATAAATCATTAAAGAAGAATTTGTGTAAAAATTAAAACAATCTGGAATTAGTAATAAAAAGAATTGATTTGTCAAGATATTGAAAATAAATTTGATGAAAAATGTAGTGAGAAGATAAAAGATTGATTTTAGATTTACATTTTTTGTTCTAAGATTAATTTTATTATGATTGTTATATTTATAATGTAATTAAAAAATTTGAATCAGAAACATATCCTTAATTATTAAAATTAACTATGCTCACAAAAGCATTAGCTAGATAGATGCGTGTAGGTATTTATAATAATGTAATTTTTGTACAGCATTCTCTGCTGCAAAGAAGGAAGCATCAACTTAAACAAAATAAGCAACAGCAACAACTGGATAGATTGCTTAAGTTATTGGTGCAGTTGTGGATGTTTAATTTGATGGTCCATTACCACCAATTTTAAATGCTTTGTAAGTTTAAGGAACAAGTCATAAATTGATATTGGAAGTGGCTCAACATTTAGGTGATAGCAGAGTGAGGACAATTGCCATGGATTCAACAGAAGGACTTATTCGTGGTTAACCAGTATCAGATTTGGGAGGCCCAATTACAATTCCAGTTGGTCCTGAAACATTGGGACGTATTATGAATGTTATTGGCGATCCAATTGATGAAAGAGGACCAATTGAAACAAAAATAAGATACCCAATTCACAGAGAAGCTCCAAGTTTTGTTGATTAAGGTAGTGGTGCTGAAATCTTGATTACTGGTATTAAAGTAGTTGATTTATTGGCTCCTTATGCTAGAGGAGGTAAAATTGGATTGTTCGGTGGTGCAGGAGTAGGAAAGACTGTGCTTATTTAAGAATTAATTAATAATGTTGCTAAAGCTCATGGTGGTTATTCAGTATTTGCTGGAGTAGGAGAAAGAACAAGAGAAGGAAATGATTTATATCATGAAATGGTTGCTTCAGGTGTTATTAATTTAAGTGGTGGATCAAGATGTGCTCTTATTTATGGATAAATGAATGAACCACCTGGTGCTAGAGCTAGAGTTGGTTTAACTGGTTTAACAGTTGCTGAATATTTCAGAGATGAAGAAGGAAAAGATGTGTTGTTATTTAT